TATTGTGTATACTGTATACATGTACAGTATATTTGTATATGTACACCTGTATTTCGTAAACCACATATAGTGAATATACAGCGTTTAAAAATATACAATGAATCTATATTTATGGGTACTAAGAGTATATATAGATATAGATTCAAATGTATAATACTATCATAAAATAGCTCATATTTTTCATACATGTATTAAGCGCGTTAAGGTAGATTCCAGAGATTTGAACAAAAGAAAATTGTCAACTCTATTAGATCTTTTTATTCATTTTCTTCCGTTTCTCTTGAATGATGCAAACCTCGACGCTTTATAGTTGTTCAAAATTTCGTCAATTTTCATTATAGTTTGAACTGCTTCCAGCTGATCAGCTTCATTCCCTGCGCTAGCCAACATTTCTTTTAATGATTTCCCACCGAAATCTGTGTTTGTAGAGAAAAGCAATTATTAGTTACTTTTTAATCAATATCTGTAAATATCCATGGTATTTATGCAAACAAAGAAATCTACAGAATATAGTGTTTGTATAATGTATCTTTCCTATATATCGTTTATTACAACACCAGCAAATTATCTATACATATTTACTAATTTATAGTCATTTATTAAGTACTTAAGAAGAATAGATTACAGAGAAATATATATTAATATATGTACTGTATATATAGATTCTTTCATTCTTTCATAATCAATTATTATTCCCTCTACTTTTTATCTCTCTTCCTTCCTTTCTACTTTCTTTATCTCCTTCTCTCTCTGTCTCTGTCTCTCTCTCGTCCTTTCGTCTCTCTCCTCTCTGCCTGTCGAAGAAGATTGAGAGGGGTGAAGAACTATCAGATGATGATATAATTTTCTTATTGAACTTTTTGATGAACCAAAAATATTTTGATTATTCTGTTCTACTGAATATCTTATTTCGCCTGTTAGGCAAGGGTAGGTTTCTAATTTCTTTTTTAAATGCCAAAATATGTAGCCTTATTAAATTTATGAAATAGGCAACCAGCTCAACAACCACTAGAAGTAAATAAATAACTAAGCAACAAATACAAAAAGTAAGAAGGTAGAAGGAGGAGAAAAGCAAGCGAACGACTTGCTTAACGAAATAATGCTGTTCAAGCAAAAAACACGCATCATCTTGACCCGAAATCTATACATATATTTATGTGTAGGTGTTCGCATTGCGAACGAATGAATGAATGAATAAACTATACCAAGTAACACAATTGAGATATTTGATTATCGGTTATTATGCTTGAAAAAGAGTATATTGTCTCAATTTTTTCCCGTCAATCGAGTTATCTTTCCCTTCTTCTTCTTCCTCGTGTTCTTCCTCTTCTTCCTCACCTTCCTCTCGCCTTAGTTGAATTTAGCAGAGAAATTATTATCCAATTTTCATAATGAAAAGTAAATTCATTTAGAAAAGAGGCCAGTGTTAGGTTTTGCGTATTCTTCAGTTTCTTCTTATTGTATCTTTTTTTATTAGACATAAAGTGGAATATTTTGCAGAGAATAAAAGAGAATGACTAGCTCGGTTTACGTAATGATTATCGATTTCATTTACAATATTTACAGTGTAGTTGATCATCTTTTAACTAACGAGACGAGAAGAATGACTGCTTCAAGTTTAAAAGTTCAAATATATCTACCTCTTTTTCCATAAAAGTTGGCGTTTGCCAGAACTAGGCATACTAGTAGACCAAAAATTATAGCTCTCATCTCTTCCGTCGAAACTCGTGTCTGTGATAGAAAAGACGCTTACGCAGCGGCTTTTATAAAGAACGGTAAACGCTTCGAAGAGCGCGTGCGCGCATTTCTTAGAGGAACAATTTTTTTTCTTTTTACACAAGTATGCTTGGCAATTAGGCAAAATTTAAATATCGATAATCCGCTTCTTTTTTGCTTCAACAGCCAGTCTACAAGGCCTTCAACCCTCGCCATTGACCTCCGACAAGTTCAGCAGCTTTAATTCCATTCCCCATCCCTAAATAGTAATTTACAGCTATCGTTTTTCACTCTCTATCTATATGGATCCTAATCCTTTCTCCTTCCTTTCTAACCTTTTATCTCAACTTATAAATATAAATGTTGAATAGAAGAATACGCAGTATATAGTTTAACGACGAAACGAACAAATTAATGAAGTCAACTAATTAGTGGAATATGCTCAAAGCGAAAAAATATTTGCTTTTTTTCTTATATTTCCTTCATATAGAAAAAGGTTTCTTAAGCGTTCTTCTTATTTTCTTCCCCTCGCAACCGTCTCCCTCTTTCTCACATATGTCGATTCTATATTCAATAGAATTTGACGTTAGTTTGCGTAGAATGAAGGTATTAAACGATTATTATCTGTCGAAAAAAGAATAGTTCGTGGCTCGTTGTTCGTCCTCAAGAATTTGATCAAGTTTACACTTTTCATTTTTTGTCATCCTACGTGGTGTATCTGTTAGGGTTAAGGGTAATCGCATAAAATTCCTCACGATGACATAAAAGTTAGGTTATATATACTAATATACTGTATATTGAGGGAAAGAGGGAAAGAGGGAAAGAGTAAGAGAGCGAGAGAGATTATATACTTCTTACTCATTACTAATATACGCATTGTATATTTTACATAAGGTAGTTTGCAGTGTACGATGTATATACTGTATAGCTTAATATAATATAGTTACTCACCAATTCTTTCATATCTATTTATATTATCATTTAATGAAAGTAAAGAGAAAAGAAAAGAAATATAATTTGCGGTGTGTGTGTAAAAGTTGGCATGACTTGACCACGTGATCATTACTTTTATATAATGTAACCGCTACAGACGTCAATGCAAACGAGATAGGAAAGTGTCTATCACTTATATAGACACTTTGAAGGGAAATTATTTACTAAGATGGAACAATTTATCATAAAAAGAAATTTTTCCAGCTTATAGGAAAAAAAAGAGGAGGAGGGATATATACGAAATTCATTGCAAGTATACAAACATCTAATGTAGATTAGGCTTAAATAAAATTAGATTAATGTCAAATTTTGATAAAAAGATAGATGACCAGCAGCTGAATCTACCATTATCTTTTTCTAACATGATAAAGAAGATATTTTTAAACCGAAGGGTTTTCTTATTTCTATTCATAGGTTCAATATAATAAAATAATGATTTGATGAGAGGGACAGAAGGGTGAAAGGAGAGAGAGAGAGCGGGGGAAGAGGCGGGAAGGGTGAAGGGGGAGGAAGGGAGCGATAGAGAGAGAGAGAGAGAGAGAGAGAGAGGGGCGAGAGAGTAGAGAGAGAGGGATAGATGGATGGATGGTTAGGTGGGTGGATGGATAGTTAGATGAGTGAATAGATGGATAGATGGGTAGATAGATGGGTAGGTAGAAAGACAGATAAATAGATTAGTATATAGAGAGATGGTTGAATGAATGAATGAATGTGTAGATAGATTATGTGTCAAACAACAACAGAATAAGGAATAATAAAAGAAAAGTTAGTAGTGCTAAATGCAGTAAACTTTAATATCCTTTTCTATATTGTTAAAAGAGTTGCGATACAGCTACTAAACAGGTTAATCAACTCGGGGAACTACTGTCTGACTGACAGTAGGTGAAATTGGGTGGAAAATATTACATAAATTGATATATAAATGATTTGTGTAAAAGAAGATAAAAAGGATTTTTAGGTTAAAAGTTTTTGCAGGCGATATTGAGTGACAAATTTTTCTTCCTATTTCAATTAATTTTTCCGTATTCCTTATAAGGTTTTACCAATAAGATTATCAACGCTATTTATTTCTATATACATTCTATATTATTACAAGCATAATCATTCTTTTTCATCATTTACACTCGTATTCAAGTAGATCTTACATTACAATAATTTTCACTCCAATTTGCACTATATATAACATTCTTGGATCAAATAGCAAAAGGGAAACGTTTCGCTTCTAATTGATATCAACAATAACTACTGGTTCTACCCTTGTAGCTTTATAGCGCTTAGGAGCGATTATCCTAACGCTTGTGCAAGTTTTATCACCTGTGCAATAGGGAATTTTCCACCAATCCTATCTGCTTGTCTTTTGACATAAAAGAGATTACAGGAGAGACGCTTTATGTGCTGAAACATGTGTTTGGATGGGATGGTGTGGGGAGTCTGTTGGTGTCTATAAACATGCGGATATATTTTATATACAGTATAATGTATATATATATAAATATAAATATATATAAATTATTATTGATGGTAGTACTGTGTATACAGAATGCAGTTTTGGTTACTATAAGAGAATCTTGCACGGAAATAAGGCAGATAAAGCGTGTGTTATTGAGGAAACCTGATGAAAAGGGAATTAAGTTGTACGAAAATACTTTATATTAGGATAACAAAACGCAAAAACATTTGTATGGACATTATTGAAGGACTCATTTTTTTATTATGAATTTTATTATAACATTATATAATATAAATCAGCTGCCTAAAACGCCGTCAACGTAGAGCGAATGACAAGATGTTGCATCCTTATCTGTATCGCCAGCATTGCTGGTTGTCGTCATCATTATCATTTCGTTGATATGATCTAATGCGCAGATTCGTTTTTGCTATTTCTATCATTTTTTTCCTATAAGCTATGAATTTGTTGAACCGTAGTTTTTAAAGGCTTTGTGCCAAGTACGCACAAAAACGAATCATTAGCCATGTTGTTTTTTTTTCTTCATACGGAATATACACCATTAGGTCTATTCAATCTTTTCTCCGCAAACGATTCGTGTACATTGAGCAACACTTGTTTGCGTGGTTGTTTTCAATATAGAGTATTGAAAATAAGAAATCTACCAGGCGAAACAATAATAAGGAGAAAACAAGAAATAAGTTTTATAATTCTTACTCTATTGACAGATGTACAGAAACGTGTCATGTGATAATTTACGCAAACAGTTTACGTCAATAAGTTACTAGTTTGGCGTAAGCCTATGACATTCAATTATTTAGATGTTGTGTTGGTTTTCATCTTTCAGTTGGTTATCATTCGTTTTTAAGTCAACTTGAACAAAGGGAAAGGAAACATAAGAAAAGTTGACAAAAGTAAAGGGCGCAGATAGATAGAAGGAAATAAGCAGAACAAAGCATAAAAAAGAGAGGTAGATTTGTTTAAGGGATTACAAGTGTTATTACGTGAGTATGCTTATTATACGGCAAAATATTAAGTTGCGCAATTTTCATCTATTGCACAATCTGCAGTAATTTTCGTATAAAAATTCTAGTTGAAGGTGTATTATATGCAGTCTATACACCTTATTTACGGTATCTATTCGATATTCTATGAAAGAGAAAGAGACACTAATTAAATCTTTAGGGAATTTATTATATTTCGTCTATTCGACATAATTTCTAATAGAAAGAAAGAAAGATATCGTTGCACAAACAGATTCTTTTTTCGTTCTTCTTCTACTTGTTCTTGTTTAGTCATTACTTTGTATGAAATTGTATTATTAAGCATTTCTCACTAAAAGATATTGCTTATTTATTATTTCGTAGACGATATGCGTCGTTAGAACTCTAAAAGGACTCTTAAACCATTTAGTTTTAGTTGTGTAAAGGTATTATGTGCGCAATAGTGTCTTTATATATAGATACTTAATATTTATACTTAATATTTGTATATCAATGTATCGCATACGAGCAGTATACGGTATATATTGTGATGTATATATATATATATATATATATATATATATATATATATATATATACAGTATATGCATACATATGCACATTTTTATCATATTTATACAATAATCAACCATACACTATAGGTGTATAAATAAATAGCTTAGAGACATAAAAAGAGATAAAAAAGAAAAAAAAAAGAGCATCAAGTAAGCCAGATGGCGTTTCTTGTCAGCTTAGAAGCAATTGGAGTAGAGTAAAGAGGATAAAGGGAAAGGTAAAATGAGGGGAAGCGAGCGAGAGAGAGACAGAAATTCCCAGCTGAAAGTTTTGGAACAATAAAAATAATAACGACGTAGAACAATTGAAATAGGATGCCTTTTGTATTTGCATATAAAAACGTATATAAATGCGCAGTATTTATGTAGAATATTACCAAGTTTACAGTATAATAGCTGTTTACATATTTTTTTTGGATGAAATTCTTTTGGCGAGTGTCGTCTATTTTTATTCTAGCCTGGTTAAATCTTTTCAATTAATACTCTAAATATCCAACATCTGTACGACTTGTTTTCTTCTCTTTTACGTATTTCTCTTCTATCCAACCATTCTATCGATCAATCAGATCAATCAATCAATCGGTCAATCAATCTATTTATCAATTCGTTCGCCGCTGAAACGTTCAATTAAAACATTTTCTTATTCCTTCCACTTCTCGCAACAATTCCATTCTTATCTCGCTTTCTTTTATTTTATTAAGTGGCTAATTAATTAATTAACTAATTAACAAACCAACAACAACCAAGTAATTGATCGGCCTTCTCTATTTATCTCTTAATAAATTTAGAGAAGGTAGAGTTTTGTGCGTAGTTTTTTTTAAAAAAAAATATTAATAAACGTGCTACAGATGTGTTGATTCCGTTATAAAATATTGGAAACCGACACGAACCGATCATCACCTCCCGTTCACTGACTCTAAAAAGTATATCACGTGTGATAAATTCGATAACGATAGAACTCTTTCTTTGTATAGGCGAACAGTTTACCTTATTAAGTAGCCATACAGAAATATTTTAGTCTCTGCAGGGAAAGGAAACACAGAATATTTCGTTCGCGTCGGAAGGAAATAAACAAATTTATACCTTAAAAGATCCTTGCCCTTTGATTGATTAAGTCGGGTGGAAAGTCAATAAATGAAATATATTAATACTACGGTTTGATATTTACCTAAAAAAGAAAGAAAAAGCTAAAAAATCGCCATTGCCTAGAAGCCTAGATATTGATTTCCACACCAACTTTTTATGTGATAATTATAGTATATCATCTTATTAATTATATTCGCTTTTTGATCACTTTTCCCCTTGAATTTCCCTTTTTTCCCAGTCTGTCTGTGACGTAATACTATGAATTTCTAGGCAAAAAAAACAGAACTATTACACAAAATTAGTAATCTGGCTTCTTCTTCATAAAACGATTTAAAGAAAACTTTTCAATTTCCTTCTCTGCTTTCTTTTATAAAGAAAAAACCAGCGTGAAACTATCCACTTCCTTCGTTTTCCGTATGTCTCTCACTCCATCTCTCTTCTCTCTCTCTCTCTCTCTCTCTCCCAGCACAAAAATTTTAATTAAACAATTTCTAGTAAAAGATATGTAAGTGTTTAATGAACGATAATGATAAGATAATGAGTCATAGATATAGTGTAATGTATATTGCATGGAATTAGTGTTGTAAGCCTACAACGAAAAAAAAAGCGAACTTGAACCTGTAATTCAAGGGAGGAAAGTTGCTTTTTAGCCTATTGACCTTTACGACCGATAAATGATAAGGTTTTTTATATATAGTATACGATAGACGTAGACTAGTATACTCTTAAAAAATTACCTACAAACCATATAATAGCTAACCGAGAAAATAAGATATAGTTAATCTCAACGATTTTAGAATAGACTGATCAGGCTGTTGGGTTTCTTATTGTTTTCTACTGTTCTTTTTGTCACTGGTAAAACTAGAAATTTTATTTGGGCTATCGAAAATACAAAGCGTTGTTTTCACTCTCATTGAACATTGAATAACCGTTACTAGTAAGAAAATGACTAATTTTACTGAATCTACACTCTCTCCTACGGAGGAAGAACAATCGAGCTATCCTCTTAGTGAATCTGCCGACGGAGACGACGAAAGGGACGACAACAACTACGATTGGAGTAGTGAATTTTTAAGGAAACGGTGCGTCTCTACGGGAGTATCGTCTATACTAGATCCGCCTCCGTTCGCTGATAGCGACAACGAAGATGATAAGGGTATTTCTTTTTTAAAAAACACTCAAAATGCCGTCGATCAGGCGGAGACTTTGGTTAGAAGAGTATGGCATAAAAGCTGGAGAGTTGTCTACCATTCTCACCTTCCAAAATGGCTACAAGATAATAATTTTCTGGTCGGTGGACACCGTCCTCCGTTAGAATCTTTCCGCGCCTGTTTTCAGTCAGTTTTTCGAGTGCATACTGAGACTGGAAACATTTGGACGCATTTATTCGGCTGCATAGCATTTATTGGTATAACAATATCGTTCTTGGCAAGACCAAGCATTGAAATTCAATGGCAAGAAAAAGCCATCTTTTCAACATTCTTTATGGGTGCCATATTATGTATGCTATTTTCCACCCTTTTTCATACAGTCTATTGTCATTCGGAGTCTGTTGGAAGGCTATTTAATAAATTGGATTATTGCGGTATTGCTCTGTTGACCATTGGTTCATTTGTACCTTGGCTTTATTACAGCTTCTATTGTACGACTGCTCCTAAAATTTCGTACATAACCTTAATTCTGGTTTTGGGTACTGCCTGTATTGTCGTTTCTATGTGGGATAAATTTGCTCAGCCAAAATTTAGACCAGTAAGAGCCGGAGTATTCATTGGTTTGGGCCTCAGTGGAGTTATTCCTGCAATGCATTACGTCCTTGTTGAAGGAATTGAACGAGCAATAAACGTGGCCGCTATGGGTTGGTTAGTTCTAATGGCCGCTCTGTATATCGGAGGAGCTTTGATTTACGCTTTTCGAATCCCAGAACGGCTTTGGCCAGGAAAATTTGACATTTGGTTCCAGAGTCATCAGATATTTCACGTTTTTGTAGTCGCTGCAGCTTTTGTGCACTATCATGGAATTTCAAAAATTGCCCGCCATCGATTATCATTTGGGGAATGTCTAGCAGCGGATGAGAGCGGAAATTTAATTCTTTAAATGAGATTACATAATAATTTTGAGAATCGAAACAAGTATCTACTACAACTACACTAATACTGCTCTCTCTCTCTCTCTCTCTCTCTCTCTCTATTTTTTTATATCTGTCTATACATCTATCCATCTATATATCTATCTATCTATCTATTTATTACTTAGTTACTCTGTCTCTCTATCTTTTGTTACATTTTTTTTGAACAAACTTTTTGGCCAATGAATTTCATATGAGTATTTGTTTGTTTGTTTGTTTGTAAATTTGCCTGTTGGCTGACATCACAAGTACATAATAGTTATCTAGTATTATTTCAAATTTGCTTGATGGAAACAGCCAGGCTGATGTAATTATTTTGTAAGAAAATGTAATAATGAGTTATACAGGTATGTCATTACAAACCAACGAAAGTTGAATAAATAAATAAATCAATGAAAGAATATGGATTGTAATTGTTTTCATAATAATAAAAGTAAATATAAACGTATTGTAGTATTATTAATTTTAACAAAACAAAAAGAAGAGAAAGGATAGAATTATCAACTATTGCGCAACCCATGCTGAAATAATGATCTCTGTGTAGGGAGTGCATTGTTCATTTTTCACTCTGAAGGATCTTTCGAACAAACTGAACTGTTTAATCTTTATTACAGAAATTATTATAATATATAATAATCGATTAGTTACAATTATCATTAATAGCATTGTTGTTGTTGTTGTTGTTATTACAAATATTACAATCATTATGGTTGTTATTATTTGTTGGTTTGTTTGTTTGTTTTGTTAGGCAGATTTGCAAAATCATTTAGTGTATCATCATCAAATATTATTGCTATAAAAATTATACTGTAAAAAATAAGTATACATTTGACAACATCAGATTTTCAAAAAAGACAAATGTGACTGCATTTCATGTTTTTTTGTTAATAATATCACGCTAGACTAGAAAAACGCAGAAAATTGCAGGATAGAGACAGCGCATTGACTAGAGAAATTTTAACAATTGGAAAAAAGATAAAAAGCATAATTAAACAAATACAGTAAATTGGTATTAATTGAACAGTATGGACGACAGGTTGTTATGTATCAAATCAAATATAATGGTATGAATGAGTACATTTATTTCATTAGTTGTACTATACTGTATGGTCTTGTTTGTTAACCTTTATGTTGTTTGGTACCTTTAAACGACATTCAATAACTAAAGTTATCCATGTTGTTGTTTAATCTCTATATACTGTATACTGTATGTATGTGTGTGTGCGTGTATATATAGCTGTTAGCAAAGCGGAATGTCTTTGTGGAATTGTAACTTTACTTTCTTCTTCCCTCTTTCCTCGCTCCCACGCGCCCACCCACTTGCTTCTCCCAATTCTCAGTCAGCAAAACAATTACAAATTTGCTAAATTTGTAAAATACAACGCTCGATTTCGTTCTTATGCTAAGAGAGAAAAGTGAATAAATGAATAAATGAATGGATGGATAGATAGATGAATGAATGAGCAGGTAAATGATTGATTGAATGATTTAACGATTGATTGATTGAACATTGAAATAGATAGATAAATGAATAAATAAACTAGAATTAATACCAATGAACAGTATAATTTTGTAATTATACTTTAGTTTTCTGGAAAAAAACGAAGCCAAGTCTTTTCATACTGCTTGATAAAAATTCCCTTTTTTTTCCCTTTTCTTTTTTTTTTTGGACTTTTCCTTTTTCAATTTAACTTCTACATTTTTTAAGGTCGGATAAACAGAACTGACCGACTTGACTGCATGGAGAATATAGTCCTACTAATGCATAGGCTCAATTTTTTAAAATTTCTATTCAGCTATTAAATTAGTTTAGTCTGAATCTCCGCCACCTCTTGTAAATCCATTCATACTTAATAGTTTACGAGTTGTATTTACGGTGCTACTTAGCGGATTGCTACCAAGTAAATTCGAAGCACTGCTAGAAGATTCCATTGTCATTTCATGAGTCGCTTCCTCCAGCTGCAAGGGTACAAAAAAAGGCATTAGTTTCGGCAATATAACAAATAGAACTTGAAGCCAACTATTAAATTTCATTGGCTTTTAAAAGCTCTCAACGTATATGTAATCCCGCAGACGGAATTGATGAAAAAAGAAAAGAAAAATCAAAGTAAAAAGGAAACTGGCGTAGAGAAGTACCAAGTTAAAAATGTCATTCTCCTCCTCTACACATTATTTCTATTCGCCTTTATTTTTCTTTTCTTTTCATGTTTTCTTCTGCTAATTAATAAGAAATAGATAGACCTAAGAGGTATTTTAACCCGCCAATTAAAAGCATAAAGAACAGAGTATAAAACAAAGAAAGAGGATTTATTTGCAGACATGCAACCAGGTACTTGTATAATGGGTGTACGTTTATATATATATACATTTACAGGTATATATACAAGTACTTAAGTAGTTCTTAAAGCGTTCTATAGAAATTAAAGTAACCTCTTCAAAGGTGAAAGAGAAATCTTATATTTGCTCTTTTTTTCTTTTAAGCACAGAACGAGCCATAGCCTAATAAGTAATATAGATAATATTTTCTTTTTTCTCTCATTCAATATATCTATATACATGTACCGTAGTTAGTTGTACTAATACAGTATATAAATATATATATATATATATAGATACAGTATATACAGTTTACCAACCGCTCTCTAACTCGGATTCAGATTCTGTTTCTGAGGTAATGTCAATACCCGAGTAAAATGATTCGGCCTGTCGTTTACGATCGTGAATAAAACAAGCAACAAAATAACAATAATAGTAATAATAAATAGAACAACAAAATAGTCTTATTTATCTTGTAGTTAATTGATTAATTAATTAATTTATTACCTATTGATTTATTTGTTGAGTTATTCATTAATTAATGATTAAAAGGAAAATAAATAGCGTACGAAAAAGCTTACTATGACTAATACGTAGGAAATAATAAGATTACGCGAATTTATTCACCTAGTGTACTGGGTATGATATTTTTTTAAGTATTCAGCTAATTCATAAGGGTCGATAAGTCTCGATAACAAATTCAAAGATATAAATAACTAAGTTGAGGTATTTCCTATAAAAATGATACTTAAACCTTTAGACTTTGATCGGATTCTACGTAGAATGACTAAATGAACAATAGAAACAAGAGAGTGAGAGAGAGTGAAAGGAGTCTGTTTTACTTTTGAGTTACGGTTAATATTCTTATTGAAAATAGAAACCAAACTATTTGAGATCGTTATAACAATATATATGGAAGAAAAGTAGTCGCTATAGTTCTACCCCATATAGGAGAATAAATAGATAAAACAGCGTTTGATTGTACAACTTTCGAGTCCTAAATCTAATTTTCTTCTCTATTTTCTTTTCATCCTACGTGTTTTTTACAACTTACTATTACGTAATAAAAGAATAAAGGAATAAAAGACGAAAAATTAATTCTGATTCTGTTGTTACCTGAAGACGTTTGCAAATACTTTCATAATCTTTGCACTTCAATACAGTTTCTAAGACACCTTGTAATTCATATTCGTTATAACATTTCTGAAAATAGAATAGATACATTATATATAATTATACAATATAAGGGTATATGATAAATTTTATTGCTATTCTCTCTCTTACCCTATTCATGTTGCCAAGACACTTTAATTGATACGGATGCAAATTATGATTATTTCTTTCGTTTAACCAATCATTCATCAACTTCATTTGTCCAGTATACCAACTCTGAAATACGCGTATATACACGTTTAATATACTTAATATTGTACATGCGTATAACTCTTATACAGACAGATAGAAGGACAGACGCATAAATCGACAGAGAGACAGGAATGACAGAAAAGGAATGCTAAATTCCTGAATAAATAATTAATTTACCTCATATATTCCTAGGATGTAAAGTTCGTCAACAATTTTATGCCTTATCTGCTCAACGTTGCTCCTCATAAAATTAACGTACTCTCTACCTAATTCATCTACAGGTTTCTAAAGAAACAGAGAAAGAACGTTATGAATAGTGAGCGAGTGAATGAATTCAGAGTCAATATGTCAATTAATTAAATGACAAATCAATCGCCAATCAATTGAACAATCCATCGATAAATGGGGATGAAATTGTTATCTTAGAGAGTACTTTTAAAATCATGGCTTTATTAATGTGAATTGAATATTTATTATGGCTTACTGTTAAAGATAAGAATGATGAAAGGAGGCTGCCTTCGTCATATCTAGCCAATTTTTGTAGTGTGGTAATCATTACGCCCAGTAGACGATCAACAACGGTGTTAACCATAAAGCTTTGAACTTTTTCCAAGTATTCGTCGCTCTTCGTATGATATTGCCTCTGTTTTTTTTTTGTTTATATTTTAAACGGATTAGCCATAACAAAAGGAGTAGAAAAGTTGATATAATGAAAAGTCTATTCTTACCATATCGACGCCACTCTCTAGAGCGCACAATTTCAAAGCGCAATTCTTAAAATCCGTAATGGAATTCATCATAACGCAAACTTCGGTTGGTACTATAAAATCAGTTCCCTTGGAGCCTCTTTTCATAGTTACCTCGAAACTATGATGCGTTCTCGTCGCTGCCGCTTCAATCATATCAGCTGCCATTAATTTCAGTCTGTGATCCAAGTGTTCGGCAAAAACTTCCTCTGGCCAATGCAGATCCTTAATAAACATCTGCAGGGCTCCTAATTTCCACAGCATATCCTCAGACGTGGCGCATCCATTTTTTTGAGGTTTCCAGCTCTCTTTTTCGAATCCTATTGGAGAATCAGTGATATTTTTATTAAACTAGAGAAATTAGCAAATCATTTAGATTAACAAATAAAGGTTTGTTTGTCTTTTTAAAAGCAAAGGTTTTAAAAAGCTTCTTAATTGTTTTTCTATTAGATTCTATTAAGCTGTATTTCTAGCTTTAGATTTGATCACGTGACAACTATTTTTTTCATTTATGCTATAGTTTGTCATTGTAATTTGTATTATTTTGTACTAATTTTAGTTTAGCAAAATTAATTATCTTCTTCTGCTTTTTCTTCTTCTTCTTCTTCGTCACCAGCGTCTTCCTTGGCTTTTTGTATCAAGTATAACAAAGAAAAACAAAGGAGGAGGATCAGCAGCAACAGCAAAAAATTAAATCATTAAACTTACGATTAACTCTGACTTATGCATCTCTGCAAACAATTACAAAAGTATGTCACATGTTTATTATTATCTATTGAACAACATGGAGCGGAAACGATGTAAATACAGTGTACCTTTTTTCATTAGTTTACTGGCTTATACAGTATAAATAAAGTCGATTAACTAATTAATCAATCAAATTCTTCATTTATAAAATGATAATTTTCAAACCTTCTGTTAACTTACACCTTTATTACTTTATTAATAAATAAACTTGAGATTGTCCCCTATGATTTATCTCTTTTGAGTAAATACTTGAAATGTTTAAAACGATATGCTTAATGATAATCATAATTTCAGCGTCTTTGCTGTTATTTATAATGCTATTGCTACTATTGTTACTATAACTCATACTACTACTATCACTACTACTATTACTTCTACTTCAACTACTACTACTACTACTACGAAGTACTATTAGTACCCCTGCTGAGGCTAATACGGCAAGTGTGATGTTGCATATATCAAGAGTAAATAAATAAGGTTAAGAATAAAGAATAAAGGTATTTATGAGATTAAACGTATTGGAATTATATACAATTAAGATTGTGAGAAAAATCCTTAATTACCTTTGTGAATTGATTGAGCTATGGAACTTTCCATTAAATCGACGTATCTAACCACTTGCGGTGCGAAAACATCTCGAATATGATTATGAAAGCGTCCGTGTGCCAAGTTCTCGTCCAATCGGAGGTAATCGTTCAACAATTGAAAGAGAGGGAACGAGTCCCACGTATCGGGAAGCTGGCGTTCCAAAACGTCGTTCATATCAACGGAAAACAATTGCCAGAATTTTTCAGCATGCTCCACAAGTAGGTCGCTGAACCAAGCAAAAGCCTGTGTGCAGAAATTTCCATAAAATTTCAGGTCTTTTTTACACAAAAGACGCGAGGAGTTTATTGAATTAAGCTAAACCAGGACGCTGTGGGAATTATGTGCTTTATAGCGTAATCTACTGTGAAAGCTACTAGCTGGGTAGTTTTTATAAATAAAAATATGTAAATATTAAAGGAGGAATATAAGAATCTTGCTCTTATGTAACTCAGCTTGATGCACTTTGCACGGAGGGAAAAAAACCTTTCCGTCTAATCAAAATTTTTATATTATTCCTGTTAAAGATTCTCGCTCGGCTACCTGAATCTGTATTTCTCGTGTACTGCAAGTGTGTATTTGTAAAGACTGGTCTCCGACTTGTGCTTGGCTTTTGTTGCCGTTATTCTATTTCTACTTTTTCTTCTTCTGCGATCGTCTTAAGGCAGAGAAGAAAAAGAAGAGGAAGAATAGCAAACTTTTTTATAGAAGCTAAGAAAAAGTGAGAAAGACAAATGCTTTAGGATAAAGCATTTCTTTAGGTATTTTGAATATGGCGGATGGACGGATGGATGGGTGGGTGGGTTGGTGATTGGTAAGAGAGATTGAGAGTAGAAGAAAGGAGGACAAATGATTAATTTGAAAGGAGAATTCTTTCTTAAAAAAATAACTATTGGTGCAGAAATAGGCTACTATAACTCTGTTTAATATATAAATGTTTTGGCGATCAATGCGAACATACGTCATCCTTCTCTAGGGAAAATAATATGCATAAAAAAAAGAGAAAAGCTATGTCGGTTAACTAGAGATGAGCATTCGGTAAACATACTTAAGAAAATATATTAATAAACACCTAAGTACTATTTACTTTACAGCCTCACCCAGCTCAAAATAAGGGAGAATAAAAGAAATAAAACATATTTAAAGAGATGACCAACTTTTGCGTACAACAAAAAAGAAGACTAGAAAAAGATATACGAGGCTATTTTCCCTGTCTCTTTTTTTTTTTCTCTCTCTCTCTCTCTCTTTCTCCATATATGACGTATATAATGTTTATATGTACGTATACAGCATATACTGTATATGTTTATGCAAGTTTCTCTTTAACTTTTGTCCTCAATTCTCTTTTTATACATATATACGGAAATTATTAAGTAACACAGTCATGCAAACTATTCGATTCTAGAATAAATATAATATATTTTGCGTTATTACGGTATATTTTTCAACTCTTTCTTTCGTTCTAAACCATCTAGTATAATATTCTAACGAAATTGTAAACAATGCTAAGAATAACGATAACAAATAAATAAAATAGAGGTAGAGAGAAGTAGAAAGAAAATTATAGAAAACAACTGATAAGGGGCAGAAGAAGAAGAAGAAGAAAAGGAAAAAAGGGAAAGAGTATGTTATCTAATGAGCAAGAATATTGTCTTATTTCCTTCTTTCATCCTTATGTCATTGAATTAAACCAATTTGAAAGTGATTTCCTACGCGTAAGCGTAAATTCGAGTATAATTAGACTAGGAAATAAAGTTAGTGTACAGGGAGAAAAACATTTTTTTTTGCACTATTTTCGAAACAGAAGCAGAACATAAAGAATAAAAAAACAAAAAAAAAGAGAGAATTTCTATATAAATGGTGAAATGATAAATAAATAAGAATGTGTCTGCTATTATTATCATTAGTAGTAGTAGTATTACTATTACTATTTCTGTTGTTATTTGCGTGGAAATACCGTGGGAAAAAAGAATTTAAGGGGAGGAGAAAAAAATAGATATATAAAGTGTATATATATGTGTATATATATACAGTATATCTATATAAAAGAAAGGAAAAAAAATTGTCAAGTAGAATATTATAGAGAGGAAAATGACAACAGAAAGGCATTGAAAAAAACCATCAATTAAATTTGATAATAAAATAACGGATAGAACGGTATAAAAATGTAGAAAAAGACTATTTTAATCATAAAAGAACAACCAATTAAAATCACCTTTCTATGATCCTGTAGTTAAATTTAAAAGAAAAGAATGAAACAGTAATGAAAAAGTCGAAATATTGAATCGATTCAACCAATACGTTATTATTATTTTTTTCATTTTTTTAGTAATAATATAAATAAATTAATATATTTATTATTATTATTATTTTGTTTTTTTTTCTCCTTTAAACTGAAACTCACCGTTCTAAATGCCTGATTTTTCGAGCACGACGAAAATTATAGTTAGTTGGGTGTATAACAAAACATACGATATTAGTAAAATTATTTTACAAACGGGACAATCTTCAATGGCTTAATTAATCAACAAACCTCTGCATGGTATTCCTCATTTTGTTGTAAGACTTCAATACACAATTCCGCTAACCGAATTAAATCTTCAAGCTTCTTTTTCGGATCTTGATCGTCTTCACCGTAAGCATCTATTAAGTAGATCATAAACAAAAATATAACAGTTACGTATAGGGTAGATGCAACATACAGTATGTGTGTGTATGTGTGTGTGCGTATATACACTGTATGTATATACAGTATATGAATATGAATAAAAAGTGATATATATTATTAAAGAAAATTTATTACAGCTATTCTCAAAGGCACGCTGTGCTTAATAATGAAAGATAAAATATGAATATTTTTATGGTAGCTTGTGATATTTTTTTCAATAAATAATTATCTTCGAGTGATAAAAGTGAAATGAGAGAGGAAAAGAGAAAAGAAAACGTGGTATGTATGCTTGCTTGTTTGTTTGTACACGTGTGTGTATGCATGAATAAATAAATGAATAAATGAAATAGTTGTATGCGTGAAATCTTGACATAAAAAAATATGAAAACACAATGTTTGAGATCTAACCTCCTTCATTTTGCATTGACGCTTTTTGGCCTATAGTTATTTCATTTAATCATTACACACGTATATCATTTTGAAAATTATTTTAATAATTGAAATACTAAAGTAGTTTACCTTCCATTTTAGCAAACTCCGATATTTTAGTGTAATTAATCAGAGCAGCTTGCTCTAGGCACCTTTTTATGGTAGCTCGAACCTCTTCAGGAGGTACGGGCGTTACAATATCTTTCATTAATACCTGCAAAGAGACAGTTGTTTTTCTTTAGCAATCAATATACGTATAAAAAATGCAATTCTAAACGATGACTTACTCTTTCCAGGAGCGATAATGTAGCTTTTAATGCCCCTTCCGGCCTGCCGAATGGGAAGCAATATCTGGAAAAGAAAGATTTCTTATTTATTTCTTTTCTTGTACATTTACAAAATTATTTTATTTCTTCATTCAATCGATAAAAGAAAAGAGAACGAAAAGGAATCTACCGGAAATTAGTAATTTGGTACTCCAACAAATCCTTAAGTTTTTGCTTAATTCCTTGGAATTTATGTTGTTCAACTTGAGTAATTGTACCAATACCGTCCGGACGATTTCCGTGGACGTGGCTAGCGCAAAAGGCAAATGAATAATGCATGAGGGTAGGGTCGATCATAACTCCGTTCTCGGCTTTCACCAGCAAATCATTTAGATAGCATAAATGTCGCCAGCAACCTCTGACACCGTATCTTGCACAATATTCGTCCAGAACGAAAACTTGGCCTATTCGAGTAAGATAAATAATTAAGATTTTAAAATTGCATTCATTTTCTTTTGTTGAAAAAGAAATATAATTCTCTTTAAATGTCGCATGAATTTTATGATATTATTAACGAGCACTATTCTCTCCTTCCTCCTTCTCTGTCCCTCTCTCTCTTTTTTTTGTTTTTTCCCCTCTCTTCTCCCTATTCGTTACAGTGAAAATTGCATCTGTACGTTCAAGAATGTTTTGTTCAAATTAACTTTTGTCTTGCAGAGATTACGAACAATAAATTCATTATTAATGGCATTAAACTCTACTCCTTTCTATTTCCCTCTTTCTTCTTCTCTATCTATCTAGCTGTCTGTGGGCTGTCCATTCTTCGTCCTTTCTTTTCTCTCTTCATCCATTTCTTAAGGCGAAGAAACTCATTAGGGACTCTTACTAGTTTATTTTGGGAAGAAAGAGCAAGAAGAAGGAAAAGACGAAGAAAAATGAAGATACCGAAGACGAGGACGAATGAAATTTATAAATTTCCTTCCTTGTTTGTTTCATTTTTTTTCAATTCGACTTTATCATTAACTCGATGATTACTTAGAGAAATAGTCCTTAAGAAGAATGCCTTAAGACATCTTAACTATATCACTTACCGGGGGAAAACCATCCCAAGCTAGTATAAACATCATTTAATCGATATTCCAATGTAAGTGACTGTAAAGTTTGGAAGAGTAGAGCGTGATCGAATTTGCAAGGGCTGGCTTGTAAGAATTCATCCAATCCATGTTTTCTGGCCTTGTCTGTTGTCTGCTTTGAGGCTCCAAGACTTGGTAATAATTGAGTGTCCTTTGGCGCCTGTGGCTTATCTTTTTGACCAGTCGCCCTAAAAATAGCTTGAATCCAAGCTGCTCTTTCTTGTTCATCTTCAGACGCGAATGTAACTGATTCACCAATTTTTGCAATGGTAAAAAAGCAATTTCCACCCTGAAATTCACCCACATTTTCTGTATAATCTACGACGTAATTATCCAACTGTAAGGTCTCTTGAGGTTCACTCTTTTTCGGTCTATAACTGCATAATGCAAAAATGTAATTGGATACTTTATGTAGTACGAAGAATCTTTTCTTCCATTTCTTCCAAATTGTTTTCCCCATAGCATACAAATAACCACATTGTTTCATGGCATCCGGTTTGGTCATTCGAACTCCACAACTCAATATTGGAACATTATTTTCAGGAATATTACGGGAAACTCTTTCCATTTTCCTGGGTTTGTGAGCTCCAGTATTCCACTCCGGATGCATAGGTCTAGGTTCAAGAATTAGCTGGAAAAACAAAATAAGAAAAAATTTGCAATTAATGAAAGTTTGCTTCGATAAATAGTCTTTCTTTCTTTCCTCTTCTATATATCCTCTCTCTCTCTCTCTCTCTCTCTCTCTCTCTCTCTCATCCCTTCATTGCCAATCAATGAGCGGGAGTTTAGATAAAAACTACAATCAAATAATTTGCTGTCATCTGTTCTTACCTTGCTCAGTAATTCGTCATTCAATGCCAATGTTTTAGAATTCTCTAGAAAGAGCCTGATTTTTACTGTAGGTAAAGGTTGATTCGTTGTAAATGTTCCCCAAACATCCCATTTTGGTGTGTTCAAATCTAGAAAGTGAGTTTGTTGCTTATCATTTTTAGAACCTTCTACTTCCATTACGCAGTAAATTATTCGATTAGCAGAAAATTTTTGCAGGCAAGATTTGGCATTTCTTAATTCATAAATATGTACCTATTGAAGGGAAAAGAAGAACGTAAGATATAGAATATATATATAAGATATATATATATAGTTAATAGTATTTAATATTACTAATTCAATTAACAATTAACAATCAGCAATTAACATTCGGCTTCTTATATAAACTAATAAATTGACTTACGTCGACAGTGAAATTCAATTGTAAAGCCGACTTGCTTAAAGGATCGTTGTCGTCAAGAGCGGGATCTATCTGACCTGGTAACTGATTGGGTTGAGCATTTCGGCTGTAACGCTTTAATTTATGCAATGAATATTTGGAATCAGCACCGCCTTTGGCGACAGGAAGCGACTCGAGATTAGCCATTAATAAGTTTATGGAAGACTTCAACTCCTCCACGTACAAACTTTCCATGTCCTTGACAACAAACTTGGGATACTTTCTAGCTCTCGACATTTGTTCGGCGTGCTGCAAACGACTATCGAGCTCTCGTCGGACTTGAGATGCTTGTTCGTCTCCATTATCCAACTAAATTGAATAGGAAAAAAGGTAACTTTTGTTAGATTTTCATTGATGAAACGATATAAAAATAAATAGTATCAAATGTAAATAGACCTAGTGAATATACTTCTATGTCTTTAACAATAGGTGGTGGATGTAGCAATATCTACTGTATATATGTATACATAAGCGATGCGTTTCCACACCCCACGCCCCACACCCACACCCACACCCATATTCACACCGACACAGACATAAAAAGATAATTAATATTGTTCGAACTCGCCCTTTAATTTTGTTAATAGAAAAAATATATTGTAATATGACAGGGGGCGATAACGATAATATCGACGATGATCATCGCATCGATAACGATATTATCATAAAGCTCTTAATACAATTAATACAGCATTAAGTATTGAATTGTACAAGAAATTAACAAGAAAATATTATAAATAATATTAATGTAAATGGAAGGTATAAGACAAATACTCTTTACTATATTTCGTAAGGCTTAACCCCTTACTATAGTTTGTTTATACTTCCTTCATTTATAATTGACGACGTTGAATGTTTTAGTTTTTAACTGGAAGCAGTTTTTAGACGCTATGCCTGGGAAAATCATAAAATTGAAGACGGAATAATTATTCATCGATAAAAAAGACCTATAAAATGTTGGTCTATTGCTGTGGAAAACTGGAAAACAGCCGTTAAATACCACTGTAAAATAGATAATCATTCACTGTTCAATAAGTAAATTCTTCGGTAAAACTGTTTGATCCATTATTTGATAGCGGATATGACGTTTCTATAAAGAGCAATTGTATTAGATAAAACCTTGGGTAGAAATCAATTTCACAAGTACATAAGAAGACATAAGTACGTAGGAGGTTATTTTAATGATTTATTACATCGGAAATGCCCTTTTTTTTCCCTTCCACTTGTTTTTTATAGTTAAAAAAGGTTCAAGATGTTTTTTAGAATAATTTAAACGCTTAAGCGTTGTAATAGATCAACTTGCATCGAAATGTCATTGATATGTAAAACACGCTACCTATTGTACATGTAAATGTAATAAATAGAGAGAACAATGTTGCCAGTACTAGATAATTTTTTTTTCTTTCTCTCTCTTTTTATGAAAACGTAAATAAACTGCACTGAAAGTAATGCAAAGGATTAATTATCATCGTACTCTATTTATAGTTTGAAGGGTGGCGTCTAGATATTTCTAGCAAATAAAAGCCGAGATTGAGAATTATTCGTAAATATAACAGGCGTGAGGAGACTTAAAAAATCACATCTCTTTTTCTTTTAGCGTTTTATAATGTATATGCAATGTATATCAATACACATAACAATAATTATAATAATAATAATAATAATAGTAATAATATATTGCATAAAATCTATTAAATACACTACGTATACATTATTAATAATAAATGTACAATGCGCAATGTAGGCCTCTTTTATATTCTATATTCTATATTTATGTTATGTCTATATAAAAAATATACGAGAATCGAGCATAAAAAACATCAGCTAAATAAGAGAAAACAAGAGTTTTTTAGTTAGGAATAATTCTATCTTTCTTCTTCGTTTAACCAATCGTTTTTGTATTAGAATATTATTTTTTTTTCAATTGTTTTCTTTCTTTTCTCTTTTACTCTGTATGTATGTATGTATGTGTGTGTGTCTATCTGTCACTCTCACTCTCTCTCTCTGTCTCTCTCTCTCTCTCTCTCTCTCTCTCTCTCTCTCTCTCTCTCTCTCTCTCTCTCTCTCTCTCTCTCTCTCTCTCTCTATTTCTCTCTATTTCTCTCTATTTCTCTCTCTTTCTTATTTCCCTTACCCCTCCCCTTCTCATTCACTTTCTTCTTATTTTAGAGAACCGCAATTAAATTATCGCTAATTAGCAGACACATAATTACCCAATGTCACGGTTTGTTGAGTATAATTTTAGCGGGAAAATGTTTTATTTACCTTTCTCTCTCTTTTTGTCTGTATGTCTATCTGCCTGCCTGCCTGCCTATCTTTGCTTTTAATATTTCTACTAAAGAGAATATTGTATGGAAATTTTCGTTATTTCTCAATTTTACTATATAAATAAAACTATAAATGTTATTTCTAGTGGTAAAAAAAAAAAAGAAAAAGGAAAAAAAATATAATAATGCCATAGTCATCTTCTGGACTATAGAGTATAGCATACAAAGCAAGCAATAAGCATAGGACGTTTTGCTGAGTGAGCAAAAGCTTAATCATCATGTGTGGAACAAGAATACGTCTGTTTTGCACTAATACAAATAGTAAACTTGCTTGTCTTGCAAACATTGAATATCAGATGAGATCTGAGTTACTTTAGCGGGATAAAGAAGATTATTTATCTGGACAAACTACCTTGATAAAGATCCGATTAAGAGAGTGAAAAAGAGAAAGATGTATAATATAAATAATGTATAAAGATATATACGGTATATAGATATATAGGTATATATTAAATTGAGAGAGAGAGAGAGAGGGGGGAGGGAGGGGAGGGAGGGGGAGAAAAGACAAGAGACAGGCAAAACAAATTTTAAATCAGTTCTTTTCTCTCTTTACATAAAAGGTAATACAGTTCTCATTTATTCAGCATTTCTGTCCAAAGCTTAACGAAATAAGCCCAATTAGTGCAAAAAAAAACAAAATTAATTGTTTACAAATCTTTCTATAAAAGTGAATCGTTATACTTTTGAGGTAAGAAGAGAAAGAAGAAGAAAACGAAAGAATACAAGATAAGAGAGGAGGAAATTAATTTCACTAACCCTTTTTTTCATTGTTAATTGAAAATTTGAATAGATACACAAATAAGACGAAAAAAATATTAAACATATAAAGAGAAGAAGAGGAAGGGGAAAGAGAGAGAGATATGCTATGATAAAAAAGAAAAGGCGTAGAGGTAGCCAGTTCAAACAAAATTCTATGGCTTAACGACTCTTTTAACGGAAGGAAATGCGAAGAGAGAAAAAACATGGAGAATTTCTTTCTGTTTATTCCAATCTTATTATGGATTAAAGTCGTAAAATAGAAAATTGTGGAAAATTATTCGCGCACTTAATATGCCAATTTAGATATCCTCTTCAGTAAGCAGGTGTCAATCGCAGTCTTTTGGCTGACAGTAGCACGACCTTTCACTTTTAGTCGTCCATTAGACGCCCGAGCAAAATGCATTAGGCAGTTGCCATAGTAAAAGCTAATAAAATTTTGCCTATACATATATAATACACTAAATGTATCGTTACTAACAAGACAATCGTCGAATGATTGAATAATTCATCATTTCCTTTCTCGTGAAACAAATAAGCAACTTGTAAAACGATTGATTGCCGCCTAAATTAGGTCTTGTTATAGGAAGTTTCAAACAGATTAAATTATACAATTCGAACTCTAGTTAAGTGAAATTAGCGCTATGAAAATCGCAAAAAGATCAAATGACTCGAGCGGAGGCCAGTTTATGTTGGTGTACTGCATTTATGCATATTGCATATACTATAAGCAATCCACCAGTACTGCAAGCTGTTTTTATTGATCGATATATATTTTCCTATGTTTTAAATATAATTATTTAGTGAAAAGAGACGAGAAAATACCAATAAAGATTCAATAAAGCGTAAATTATTCTATGCTCCTTAGTTATGAGCTTCCTGATAACGACAAAAGATATATTATTTTCTATAAATTATTCAATCTATACAAAACCCCAACTAAATAGTCTAACAGAGTCGTAGGAATTAATAAATCTAAAAAAATAACCTTTTCCTTAACATCCTCGCAACTCATTACTATTTATTACCATTCGTCTAACTCTTTTAATATTTAATCATTGTAAATATATAACCTCTTTCTTTATATTCTCTAGTTGGTGTTAATACGGCGAGAGAAGAGAAGATTGAAATTCAATTTTTTTTTAATCAAACCTTTTCTCGTCTAATTTCATTTTTTTTTCTTTTCTTTAAAAGTTCTTGAAATTTTCAATCTTTTTCCGCAAACGTTCTAGTAGGCGCTATCGCATCGATTATATCGATTAGAACCTCGTTTACTGCCAATATACGTCCATCAAAAAATAAACTACACAGTAAAAGAGAACAACAGGAAAGGGGAAAGCAAGAGGTATATTAATATCTATGTATGCATATGTGTATATTGTATGAATATAGATAGATAGATTAGATAGATCGATAGAGATAGATAGAAAGATAGATAGACGGGCAGATAGAGATAAATAGATAAATAGATAAATAGATAAATAGATAAATAGATAGATAGATGGATGGATGGATGGATGGATAGATAGGCGCAGACAGCCAAAGAGAAAGGTAACCACCTCTCACTGGGCAAAAATCTATGAAAATTCGCTTCAAGGTTAATAGGGGCAAGTCTCTTAAAAAGTTGAAGAAACAAAAAAGAAATCAATATACATACTGTATATATGCTGATAAAAATAGTATATACTGTATACGTTAAACAAAAGAGATATTGGACATGTATAATGAGAATATAGATTCAATTTTGTACTCTGTTTATGATTCAAATCAAGAGAAAAAAAGAAAAAAACCTAAAGTGGAGATTTAACGGAAAATATCGATGAGATTAGAATTTATACACAAGGATATCTTGGCGTTCTGTCTATACGCCTCCGTAAATCAACTTGTACTAAATATACACTACACTGTATTGTGTATTCAATACACGCAAATAAGTATTTCTATATTTCGCGCAATTAGCACTTCATTTACGCTGTCTATATCTAGACAGTGCATGCTGTACACACACTTTTATATAGTGATATTTATAGAAAAAATTTATCAAAAGGGAACAGAGATATTCTCAATCGATTTGATTCCGTACTTCTGTCAAGTCCACACATCTTTGCCAATTTATTCCTTTCTCTTTCCTTCCTATTCTTTTCTTTTTATAAATTTTAATTAATGGAATAAAAATCCTTTTTTATTTATATTTTTTGTTTTTTTTTTACTTTATTCTTTCATTTCGTAAACGGGAAGGAATAATTAGCGTCATTATTATAATCGGATGATATTTTAGTAGTAGATTTTATGGGTGAATAACGCTTGCAACATATCATCATCTAGTGAAAAAAATACAGGGTTCTAATTATATCTATCTGTCTCTCTCTCTCTCTCTCTCTCTCTTACCAATCCAGTTCCTCCCGTACCCAGATATCACATCTAAGAAACCCATTAACTTCTATTTCGAATATAATTAGCAATTGCTATGGGTTTTTTTAATACGGGAAAAAATTCGCCCAATAAAATATTCCGACTCTTATAGGCAAAATGATTATTAAAACGATTAATTGGTACCAGAATGTCTGGTTGGAGCCAAGTATTGACAAAATTTACATAATGTTGACTGTATCAGCTAGTACAGGCTAATTTCCTTGCCTTCTGTCTACTTCTCATTTCATTTGTTTTACTATACTCGTTAAGCAAAAATCAATTGTTTTTTTTATGGATGCCATTTGCCCGTAACATTTTGTTAGTATTTCGTTCAAATTCAACTGTTAAGATAACCTATTTATTTACATACGCAATTCAGTTTGTCAAAATACAATCGGTTAAATGACAAACAAGAAAAACTAACAAATTGATTTCCCTTCCTCATTTTCGATCTCTGCGTGCGTCTGCCTATCTATCCTCGTTCTTTGTCCTCTCTCTTCGTTCATCTTTAGTTTATACACTAGTTTGTTCGCCCCTCTCTCATACACTCACTGACTTACTCACTCCTTCATTCACTCATTCATCCATTCAACCAATCAATTTTTCATTGCTTTCTCTCTTCCTTTCTGTCCTCCTCTTTCAAGAAAGAGACATTTAGATAATCCCGAGTATTGTAGAGCGAGAGAGAAAACATACTATTTCATTTTAAAACCTCCAACTACCTGATTTAATGACAGTGCACCATTTGTTTGACAGTTTTATATTCCAACACATTTCATTTAACGATGAGAGGACCTCTTTTCCTATTTATAGAACACAGATTTGCTCATTAGCACGCATTTCTAACTCTGCTCGCTAAGGCTATTAATTTTCGCTACTTTATATAATTCCCTTTAATTTTTTTTTCAGCTCGACAACCATTATACAAAACAATATTTACATCAAACTATCATGTTTACTTTGACCTTTTAGTTAGACAATCATTAGTCTAACTTTTCCTCACCTGCTTTAAAATAGGCAGGCAAGTTAAAGACAACTTCAAGAGCTATACGGTATTTACTGTATAATACTGTATATATACAGTTTCAGTATGGCGACATATATTGTTACAGTTGGGAGAAGATTGCTTATTAAAGCTCGTATAAAAATTTATTGAATAGTATAGTCGTTTCTTTTTCTCTTTACGTTTGATATAAAAATATAAAAAGGGGTTTTAATAAACAAGTAGTCAGGGAATCCTGGGCCACTACGTACAGTTTTTGAGAGGAGAAAAGGAACGTCTAAAAGAAACGAGGATATTTATCTAGAATAGAAAACAAAGGGAAATACCCCGGCAAAAAAGTTCAATCTAATGGACTCATTAAGGTAGACCTTAGTAAGAAAAATAGGACAGACAGTTTCCTATCTCACGTAATTGAATTTCTAAGGTTCCATTTTTGATGCTGACATGTCAGAAAATTACTGGAAATGGAATAATAAACGCTTAGAAATTGCCTCCACAACTAAAATATGGTTGGAGAGAAATCACACCGCATAAAGCTTGTTTGCAAGATATAAATATTACCTTATTTTTTTGCTTATTACATTTGATTTAGCAAATATAAAAGAAGGCAAAGTCCGATAGTAAAAATGTCACTAACCTGCATATCATTGTGTAAAATTTGATGTTCATATTTTTTTATGTCCAATATCCTTTGAAACATGTCGTAAAGCTGTTCCTTTGCCATAATTACTTCCGAGTTATTGGAATATCTAGATTGTTTTCTTTGATCTTCCTCTCCTCTGTAAATCTGATCGAATTTACTCATCCAGTTAGCAATAACAGTTTCTTTAGGTAATCCTTCCAAATCCGGCATATTTCTAAGTCTTCTTTCGATACTTTGCCGAAAAACTTCTCTAAAATCATTAGAACTACATCCTCCTCCATCTACCATACAGGCTAGCCTATCAGATTTCAGAAATACTTCGGTGTAATTCTTAATAGCATTCTGAAGAGCAGCATCAGTTGAGACTTTGGTTTCCGAATTTAAAAAGGCGTTAAATCTCTCTTTGATGACCTTAAGTTGTTCCTTGTTGACTTTTAACTGACGTCTAGCCATATCGGTAGGTTGTTTTGCATTAAATGGGTAGGCAATGCACCTTAGAACAAAAACGTAAAGCTGCATTTTTCGACGCCTATTCTCCTCCTCCTTTTGCCTTTGCTCTTCGGCGGCCTCTTCTCTTTCGGAGACAAGCGAGGGACTCGGCGAAGGGGCCCTTTGAGACGAGCTCGACCCCGACGCGGGCCTTCTATAGCTTGGTTCAGATTTTCTATCAAATCTAGGCGACGGAGCCGAATCTGCTTCAGGTCTGGGTCTCCTATTATATTTTGGAGAACCTGAAAAAGAATTAGATAAGTTTTTTTTCTGTACAAAGCTAAAGATGGATGTTTTATTATTATCATTATTATCGGTAATCGTTAAATTATTGAATAAGAACATTATATAAATATAAAAATCATTGTAGACGGAGAATAAAAAAGACAATGAGAGAGAGAGACAAGCGTAAAAGCCAGAGAGTAATGAATACTGGCGTCAAAAACAAGCATATCTTGTATCACCTCTATTCAAAGCAATGTCTCTAAATTTGATTACCTTGAATTTGACACTTTTTACTTCCGCTTTAAGTCTCTTATAGGCAATATTAATTTAATAGTAATATAAAAAAGGTAGAGGAGAGAGAAAGAGAGAGAGAGTGAGAGAGAGATAGAAAGAAAGAACGAAAGAAAAGAGATGGAACGCACGAAAGAAAAAAGCTCTTTTTCTATTTTTGCTCATGCGTGTGAGTGAGTGTGTGTTTGTTTGCTAGTTTTCTTTATAATAAATATATTAAAAAGGCTCTAATATTATTGTTATAGTGATTTTTTCAAGTATCTTACAACTTAACTAATATAAATAAAAAATATAGAAAACTGAAGAGAGAGGGAAGAAACTGAAACAAATGGCTTAAAGAGAGCACTTATCATCATAGATAAAAAAACAAAAAACATTACAAACTTATAGGACTAACACTGATTAAAAGTGAATAATTAATGAAGCCTGAAATTATTGAACAATTAATTAGCCAAGTATTTTGTAAAATATCCGTTGGAAACAATTATTTCACAGTGAAAAAATGTCATAGCGATTATTTTCCCGCAATGGCTAATGCAGTAGTAGGATAAATAAATAATAAATAATTATATAACATAAACGAATCAAACAGAAGCTAAAAGAGTAAATAGTTGGAAAATTAAAGATATTTCTAATAGAGAATTAATATAATTTTTCCAAGAATGAGATATTATTTCTTATGTTAAACAATAAAATAAATAATCTTTAACTGATTAAAAAGGCAGTGACGAGAAGAGTGCTTCTTTTCTCACTAATAAGTAATTCACCTTTTCATCTTGAGATCATTTTAATTATTAGAACACGACATACAATTTCAATTTGTGATCAACAAAACTAGAATAAGAGAAGAGGAGTTAATTTATTAATAAATAATCAATTAACTTTTAAGTAATACTTGTATAAACTGTATTAATGAGGTATTCTATCCATCACTATGTTTCTCTAAACAAACACACATAGTTTATATATACTAATATATATATATATATATATATAACCATCTAGTTACTTCCTCCCGTCTCTCTCTCTCTCTCTCCTCACTAAAACAATTCAAGTAACGTTCCTATCTTTCTATTTATCTGCACAAAATATAAATTAATATAAGGATTTTTTATTTATTTATTTGCACTGTTAACATATTTTATATAAACGCCACATGGAAGTAGAAGAATAAATCGTTGTTGTTGTTTCGGTTTAATGAGTACATTTCTGTTGTCTATCAATTAATTCATTCATATTACAGCAGCTGTGTGAATCTTTAAAGATTTTCCATTGACGTTATATTTACGTACGCTTTAATCTTTCCAAATGTTAGATATTAACTAGTACTTGATCAGTACGACACGGATATTACTAAATATCCTACTCTACATTTTATACTTAATTATAATAAATTTCAGGATGATAGATCAAATTCTGAAGCAGACGACTAGCTATTTACAAAATTTTGGTTTTCAAAAAAGAAGCAGCAATACAATATTTTTGTTGTCATCAAGTGGTTTTGAAAATTTATTTGTCAACAATTGGTTCAATTGTATCAAAGAGATAGAACTTCCCCCGGGAAAGAGATTATTATTAAACCAGATAATTTAATTTATTCGTTCGTAAACATTTAGTTAAAAATTAACTCTCATATCTACCTCGATTTGCTAAAAAACATCGATCGAATTGTTGAGCGTGACCAGATTGACTAATGGAATCAACGTTTGTCGTCCCTGGGATGCCTGAACTGGGTTTCTGTTCAATTTCTTCTTCATCTTGCACATCGGGATTATCCTCCTCACTAGAGCTAGGTTCCAACATACTTTTCGTTCAAAGATCGAGAAATGTCGAAATTTTAGATGCTTTCTAAATATTAATTCCAGTCTAGTGTTGCAGAGTTGTCATCTTCATTTCTGACGCATGCGCAACGCCCACACAAACTTCGTATTTCAAAATTTTTCAATGGTCCAATAAACAAAGTTGTAATTTAAATTTCCTTTAACCAGGCCCAGTTAAAAAGTGAAAATATTAGGTAAAATTCTCGATCTCGGATTTTCTCGTTTTATTATCATAAATTAAAAAGAGCCACCTATCGGATGATGAATAACAAGGAGAGGTCGTTTTACAGAATTCTATTCAATAAATATTTCTTAAGAAAGTTTCATTCATAGGCGAAAAAGGCCCTAGCAAGCAAATCTTTCAACCCTTTGAACAACAAAACCCCCCGGACAAATGTTATTAATTGAAAAAATATAACATAAAATAGTGTATCAACAAAAAGTAATTTTAAAAGAGTAGGGAATGTTTAACGCGACAGTAATGATAATAAAAAAGCAATTTAACCAAATGATATAATATTTTAAACAAAATTATAAATAAGAAATGTAAATCTATTGTAAAATTCTTATTTATTAACAAGATTAAGGAATAAATAACCTCTTCTTTCTCTTTCCGAAATAATATATGATCTTTTCATTAATACATTCTTTTATTTCTTGTATTTCATTAAAAATAACTAACATACTAAAAAATTTCACTAATCTATTAATATATTAGTAGAATGAATTATATTGAATTTATAATATGCTTAGCTTTGCTAAATGCTAAGTTTCTCTTATTTTAGAATATTGATTTGTCGGATTCTTAATCTATCAATTGATGCCTGACTATTTCTCTTGAATCGTTCTATTTAATTAATAAACCTTCTCTTTTCCATGATATTAATATATGAAAAGCCAAAGTCAATTACAAATCTATTTTACATTTCCCGCTGTTTTTTATGGAATCAGTGCAAAAACTATTTTCGTAGCCAAGGCGTCAATCTCGTTTATAAAATCTCGTCCGCCATGTTTGTTATTTCCCATTTAATAACAGTAGCCATATTTCTTGTACAACTTATAATTTTCATCGAATTTTTCACGTGTCATTCAGCGAATTTTGAAAAAAAATGTCAAATTACGTCGATCTTAAAGCATTAATTCTTTTTGTCGGCGTGGAAACGTGAATATTAAAGCGAAATTGTGCTAAAATTCACGGAAATTTCAGCGTGCTCTGAAATTCCGTTTTGACCTGTGACGTTCTCTTAAATTTTGCCTGGATACTGACAAGTTCAGGTTAGTTTATTTCAATATTCTATTAGATTATTTATTAGGGTTTTTACGACGTCATTTTTTTTTAAAATTTTGAACAATTTGGGAATATATAAATTAGATAAAAGGTACTTGCCGCCATTATTATATTATACTTAACAGTTATATTATAAAATCTCATTTGTTTAGTTAGTAAGTATAGAAATTATGTTGAAAAACAATTGAGATTACCAAGAATATACGATTGGAAAATTCCAAAGCTTTTGTATCGTCTGAGAAGTAATATGTAAAGAGATTGTTTTTTGTCTTATTATGTTACTTTCTAACAAATATTAAATACATATTTCTTTTTGTATATTTCTCTACATCAACTTGTTCGTTCTTTTTTTCCTGCTTTTTTTTACTTATCTATAGAAAGTTTTTTTTTTTACTTTTCTATAATTAATTGATAAAAAGCTCCCTAATATTCCTTTGTATTTTTACTTATTATTTGAAATTATTATTATTATTGTTAGTATTATAGTAAGTATAGAAAGACCATTCATTCTTTCTTGCCCTCCTTCGTTCTTTCTTCCTCTATTCTTTCTGTTTTAACTAACTACCTATCTATTAACAATCTCCTTATTTAGTGTTTTTATTTTTAAAAAAATTATAATAATTAATAAATTTCGAATTTGAAAAGGCTAACGATTTTGCTTTATATAAAGTAAAATATTCATTTTATTAATCTGCCACATCTGTTATACTTACTACTTTAAGGTAGAAACTATCTATGTAGTATTTTTTTATGTATACAGTATATAAAACTAGAAATTGATAATGCAAACATTATCCTGATAGAATTAAAATCATCGTCCAGTGTAAAAAACAGTATAATTGCTTTAAAATTTCATTCTCTCGCTCTCGCTCTCTTTCCTATAGAAATATTCGTAGAAGCAGTAATCGATATTTTGTTTTGTTTACAAAGTCGAACATACTTTACTTTAGCCCTAAATATTGCTTACTATAGAATTTACTCTACTTAACTGTTTTATGAAATATTTAGGCCACATTTATATTGAGAAAGAAAATGCAGCTTGTTTATAATCATGAAAGTTTTTCTATTATATATTGTATTATTCTATTTATGCAAAATATTGTAACATTTGTCTTTTCACAGAATATTCATTTTACGAGTACTTGTTGGAAAGAAGAAAAATAAGCTATTTCGCAAGGTAAGCTAATCTCGATTAAATCGTGTTGAAAGAACTACCTACACACACACACACACAATATATGCACGATAAGATCATCTGTGCCAATTTTTACATAACAATTTACACTGGTTTTTGTTAATTTTAAGGATTAGTAAAAATTTATCATTTACAGGTAATACCTTTATTGAACCTGTACTTATTGTTAGAACTGGAGACAAGAACAAAGTAATATTGATCGCATTATCCGCCATGCGTAGTCTCTTACTGTATTTATAGTTCATTTTATATATCACATCTGAAGACTTCTTATGTAAGAAAAATTTATATAACCTTTTTAGCGTTCCTAACATTTATCCAGATAATTGCAAACTTAAATTAACAACACGAGGAAAGTAATAAATTCATATGGGTGTCAATGTAATCTCAACAGTGTAGGTGAATTATTAAATAGGCAGATCCTCCCTTCTTTATTTTACATTCAATATAGGTTTTATTTCTCGAAAGTAACTAGACGATGGAATAATCGAAATTCACTTATTGACTCCATTGTTTATGGCAAAGTAATTTATTTTTGTCATTAATGTTTCTGGGAATGTATCATTTATATATTTAATAATTCGCTTTAGCCCTATATATCTTTTTTCTTCGTTTGTTTTTTTACTAAAATGTATAGATAATTAATATTTGAAAATAATATATTTTAGGTATTTTGTCTACATAATGCGGAATGTTGTCATCGTCAATAAATGGCGACACGAACAATGGCTCAACTGGTCAAACAGACAACCTGGATGTGCTTTTCAAAGCAGTTGATTTAGTTCAGAAGAACCCTATACCTGATGTTGATTCCTTCCTGCCCCATCCAGACCACAACTATTGTGCCCGACCATCACCATCTTCAAACACCAAGCTCTTAGGTGTCCCTACGATCTTAGGTATGCTCTCTGTAAAATATCCAATCGAATCGTCGATCACTATAAACTCTACTTTTATAATTTAGGTCTAAAGCCAAGAGATCATAATTATGTTGCGCCGCCTCCAAAAAGTCCAAGAATCAATGGTCATCAGCAAGACGAAGATACAGATGACGCCCAAGAAACAGTTGACTTACGATTAGAAGATTCGGCTTCTTTAAATGGAGATATCGGTAGAGAGGAGACCCTAAGCGACGTGTCTGATTATGGTGGTGAAGTTACGAGATGTATATGTGGCTTACAACATGACGATGGATTTATGATTCAATGCGATAGATGTAGAGTTTGGCAGCATTGCAGGTGTTTCGGTATATTTCCAGACAATGTACCTGAGTGCTACTTATGTGAAGGATGTGATCCTCGAGAAGTTGATACCAGTTTTGCTAAAAAGCAACAACATATATATATGAAAACGAGAACGGATCTATTCAAAAGTAAGCAAGCTTTTTTAATAAATAAACATATTTATATAAATAAAAAATATTTAAAATATAATTGATATTTTTCGAAAAGGTGAAGGTAGGGGTCGTGGTCGTATTGCTGGCAGAGGTCGCCCAAGTGGACGGGGTGCAAGGACAACTAACAAGCTCATAAAACCAAGACGATTTCGGCGGAGAAAATCGGACAACTTCAATATAATGAGTATTGAAGTTCCTCCACGAATGTGCGAAGTGATGGAAATTATGCCTGGAACAAAACACGTTGAGGCTAGTGAGGATATTCGAAGCGGGACAACAATATTAGAATACATAGGAAATGTTCGAGAATGCTCGAGAACAGAATTAATGGACATAATGAGAGACGAATTATTTTTATCTCGGTTGGTCATTTACTCCAGTCCCGAACTTGACAACAGTATCGTTTTGTTTGCTGATTTAAGCGAAGGGTGTGATAATATTGCTAGATATGTTAGACGGTCTTGCACACCAAACGCTGAAGTAAGTATCATTTTTGTTTCGTATAATATAAAAGATGTATAATTTTATTTATAATTATTGAGATTTATGTATAAATCTAAATTCTAATCTAATTAAAAAAACTTGTTTTTCAATAGCTTCGGCATTTCTTCAAAGATGATAACCTGCAAATGTTTGTCGTCGCTTCGCAGAGCATTTCAAAAGGCATCGAAATTAGTATACCTTTCGATTACGATTATAAATCGGTACCATTCTACACTCATTGTGCTTGCGGAAAGTACAACTGTCCAATTGAACGTTTTATGAGAAGAAAAAATTCCAAAGAGGAGGAAAAAGACGAAGAGGAAGAAAAAGAGGAACGCGAAGAAGAAATTTCTGAGGAAGAAGAGCTTCCAATTGAAGAAACACTTCCAGAAGAAATTAAAAAATTAGAAGAAAAAATCGAAGAACCTGAAATTCCTGAACATATACCGAAGACCCCACCACAGAGAAAGAAAAGACATTCAAAAAACCAAATTGTGACGAATGGTCAACCTGAAGTGGTAAGAAGAAGGAACTCATCAGCGGGCAGCGCAAATTTTTCTAAGAAAACTCCACCGATTTCACCACAAAAAGATCAAACTGCCGAAGAAGATGATAGTGATGAAGAACTCGATGCATCTCCTGAACCGAAAAAGTTAACAAGAGAAGAACGAAAAATTCAGCAATACGTTCATTTGATTCAAATGAATGAAAAAAGAGATGCTCGGAAAAAAGAAGGACGTCAGAAGAGAACAGCAAGATTTACATCAGGAGAAGACGAGGTCAGTCATTAAAAAAAGTTCCCTTCAGAAAAGGATTATATAGTTATTGAATTAATTTTAACGAGAAGTGCTAAAACATTGAAATTTTCATGTGCCGTGGAAAATTAGTGATTCTCTAACAGGAATTTATATATATTAATATTTTTTTAAATAATGATAAGCTTTATCTAGAGAAGGTTTAATAAATGAATAGGTCTATATTTTTTTGAGATAGTAATTCTTGTAATTATTTAAGGTTAGTTAATTATACTTACTTTGTTATATAGCAGAAACCGCGGGAATATTCGACAAGAGGAAGAAAAAGAAAGAGGGGTGGCCAGGGCGGACGTCATCAATCAAGAAAGAATAGCCAAAGTTCAGTAGATCAATCGGCAGATGGCGCTACAACTGATGAATGTCAAACAAGCGCGCCCGTTACGCCTGCATCCTCTGAGCCAGTAGGGAATTCATCATTTTGCTTTTCGAGAAGGAAGCACATTATGAACGAGTGGCTACAAGAAAAAAAGAACGAAGAAAGCAACTTGACCAGAGTGAGAAGAGCCTCCTCTCCAACTAATATCAGTCCTGATCAGTATGGAGCTGGAGCCAGCAAAAAGGTAAAAAGACAACTCTTAGATATATTTTTGAGTAAATTACAATTTCATTTACACAACTCAAATGTCAATTTTTGCAGAGATGGTTGAAACAAGCTATGAATGAAAATTGCAGTTCACCGGGAAGTGACAGTGCAGTTCAAACGAGTAGACCTTCCTCTCCTCAGCCGATACTTTCTTCTTCCGAGCGTTTAGGCCCTTTGAAAAAGCGTCGTTTCCCATTGGAAGAATCTGATGCACCGGCTCAAAATTCCACTTCGAAACAATCTGCTGAAGTACCTCTAAGTCCTCCAACGCTTCTAACTCCAGCTGAAGTAATAGGCGAAACTGGAAATGATGGAGATGATGAGGGTGGTGGTGGTGATAGAACAGAGGAGAGAGATGAAACTGAGAGTGACGATAATTCAAGATCACCTTTAAAACGCTCTCCTGCTAGACCAAATGTAAATGATGCACATTTAAGTTTTCTAACCTCAAAGTTTGGTGGCGGAGGTAGTACTTTTGACGAAACTCCGTCGACACCAACCCTTGACGAGCGAGAAACACCACCTGAAGGTAATACCCCAGAGAGACCTAATTCGGAACCTGAACGAACCAGGTAATTGAAAAAAGTGTATAGTCTTAAATGCAATTAGGATTTTATATTGCATTTTTAAAATGTATTCAAAATAAAACATATCTTTTACACGATATCATTATCCAATAGCAGGTCCGAGGGTAAACGAACTCTTTCACTAGAAGCTTATAAAACAAGAAAAAAGCAACAAGGTATTGCTTTAAAAAGTGACACACAAGAGAGAAAGAAAACAGCAGCTGAAGACAGCTCAACGAAGTCGCCATCTTCCAGCTTACCTCCGCCCCCTATATTGTTCAACATGGAAGAAGACACTCCACCTCCTCCACCTCCCCCAAGGCGAAAAGAGGTGACACTGGAGCCCTTACCAATGTTTTCAAAGCCAGATAGTACCCAATTATCTTTAAACGAAAGATTAAAAAAGTGCTTCGGTGTTGACGTAGAAGCTGACGGTAAATATCTATCAATATGATTTTAATTCGGTTAACAAAAATTTTTTTTTACATTGCAGATGAGGAGAGCACAAATCAAAGATCTGTTGATAAAAAACAACAATCTAATCCTGCATTGGCGCATGATGTTCGACAACAGCGAGCCCATTATTACCCAGCTCCACAAAATAGTTCATTGGGTTTTGATCAACAAAATCACCGCCAGCATTTTAGCCGCTCGAGATCACATCATGATCATAGGCGGCCTTCACCCAGATTTGATACCCACCATAGACTCGATATAACTAATTACCATCAGCAACACCACCACCAAAATTCTTATAGACAACGAGGTGGAAGCGATCATAACTCACATAGAGGGCAAGTGAGTTATTATGGACATCATGCGCAGCATCATGGAACAGGATCAGGAAAATATTCTTCTTCAAGGGGCTATTCTCATCGTGTGAGAACAACGACTCGATGAAGTTTGTTGGTGTATATTCATTCTTCTATGTATGTATATGTAAGTAAGAAACATATACATATGTGTATATAATGAGAATATATATTAATATATATATATTCATTAAAGATATAGAGAAAAAATATTTACATATAAATATATATATATATATAAATGGTCACTTTCAATTTTTAGTGGAAGTGAGTGCTTTGTGTGTAGGCGTGCGTGAGCGAAAGTGTACAGATGTATATTTATATATGTATATTTTTATATATATATTTATATACATTTATATAAAGTTCGAAATTGTATATATATATTTACATGTATCTATTTATATATATATATATATTTATATATATATGTTATTTACTTATATATCTATATATATATATATATTTAAATATATGTATATACATATATACAATTTGTGTAGTATATAAAATATCACATGTGCTTAATCTCGCAGCAGGCTAACCCAATCATCTGCAGTATAGAGCCTCATGAACCCGATGGGATAAATTTTGTTTTACTTTTTTTTTAAATTTTCTGTTGCCACACAGTTCGACTGAACTATTGTTATGTTTTTATTCTATGATGTCACTAACTTCTACACCTGTGAATAAAAAAGTCGTTTCTTCCTGTTAAATAGCATACATATGATAGTAGACATTCCTAGAAAATGACACAATTGTTGGCAGTTTGTTTTTACTTTTTCCCTGTGTCCGCGTGTAATGTTTAGAAGAGTTTATTTTTTTGTTGAAATTTTTAGTACATTTGTGGATAGTTGCAAAATTGTGAAATCAGGGATGTGATTAATTAAGGAGTTATTTCCGATTTTCTAAGTTTTTTTCTTTGAGAGTATATTAGTTCGTAGACTTCTAGCTAACTATTGGTAGTTCTGATTTTATTGTCTCCTTTTTAAAGTAGCTTTTTCTTTTTTAAGCTATTGAATTGAAGTTTTGTTTTTTCTTCTTTTTTCTTGTTTCTCTTTTTCATCAATTTATATAAGCATTTTTAAAGGAACCTTATTTTAAGGTCTCCTTGTGTGGCAGCATACGCTTAACTTGTGCAAATTATATTTTATCCCATCTTGTGCATGACATTCTCTAACGTTCTTTTCGTTTTGTCTCTTTTTAATAGAATTTATATTCTCTTATGTGTAAATAATTACCTGACTATTATACATCTTTATATATATATATATATATATATAATATCTAAATTTATATATTTTTTATGCATATAGATACTTATTGAGATATATATATATATGTATATATGCGTATATATTCGTATATACATTTTAGTGTATGCATTCATCTACTGTTCTGGCGTATATGCGAAAACTGATTTTCAACATTTTCTTTTCATTTTTTTCATGGTTAACGTACTAATTTTGGGTTTTCTACGGTAGTGAGATACACATTCTCGAATTCTGTACAAAGTTTGTCGGAGTTTTTTCTTTGTTTGTTTAAGATTTTCTTTTCCTAGTTGAAATTTTTGTACATATTTCTGTAAATAACTGCTGTAAAATGGCCTCTTAGGTCACCTTATTATTTTTTGAAATCATGCAATTTGTGGTAAAAATCGTTTTTATTTGTAATAAACAGAAGATCTATAACAATATTTACGCACAAGCATTTAAAAAACGCTGTTTTCTTTTCTTGCATATTGTAAACTATTGAAACGTTAGGAAAAGATAGATATATGGATAGATGGATAAATGGATGGATGGATGGATGGATGGATGGATGGATGAATGAATAATTGAACGAATGAATGAATAGATGAATAAAGACCTAGTTGTTATCCATTTAGTTTTTAGATAGCTTGCTCGGAATCGAGGTTTATTCGTTCATTATGAGCTTTAGTGACTGTAGTCTGCTTCTCAAACAGACCAATACCTATAAGAATAATCAATAAACAAACAAAAAATTCAACAGACAACGTAAATCTGTCGGGAAATACTAGAAAACAAACAATTGAATTAGCAATATTTCCCAGGTTTTGAACATAGATTTTAACGACGTTGTCTAATTGTTTCATAACTAAAGCTATAACCGAACCGGAAAGAACTCCAGTTACAATGATAACTGTAAGTAAGACGGATAGAAACTGTTCATTTTCTTTTCTGTAGATCATCCAATTAAAAGGCTTATATTGATTAGTCATCAGGCAAATTACAGTGCAGATAACAAATCCAAATAGGTAGAATTGAAGTTGCATTTCTAGAAATGATCTTCTGTCATTCTTGAAGAGAAACTACAAAAAAGAAAAGAATATGAATGAAGAGATTAAAGGAATATATTTATTAGATTTTAGCTATTAGTCATTATCGAAATACAATAGCTGAAAGAAATTATTTAGTGATAATTGAATTGTACTTGCCTCCATAAATATACTTCCTACGGTTGATAAAAAAGAAGCAACCAACGCTAAAACTATAACGACAGGTGTATTCAAATGATTAACGGAGAATGTCTCACTGGAAGAGATGAACAGCGAGAGTAACACACCGGAAAACAGGAGAAAAAGTCCAAATACCTAAGGTGAACGAAAGAATGAATGAAGAAATAAGAAGGTGTATTTCAACAATATCTACCCAACTCTGCTGTGCTGTTGCCAGTGATACTAACACTACTATTCATACAACAAACAGTAGAGTAGTAGTGGTAGTAACAATAATAAAAATACCTATGTTAGTACTAGTACAAGTACAAATACTAATACTAATACTACTGTTAATGCTACTCACTTGTAAAATTGATATTCTCTTTCCAAAGATAAATCTATATACGGCAGCAGTCATTATTAGTCTCAGTTGCATTAAAGCTGTCCAAATAGGCGGTGTAGTGTAGATTAAAGCGAGATAATGTAAATTATTATTAATTGCATAAATTATCGAAGGTAGTGCAAATTTCCAAGCAAGTTTTGTGTTGGCGACACCCAACTTTAACTGAGTCAATAAGAGAAATATGAGCAATTTTATTCCTTCAGTTACCGCGACTATCGACGTTAAAGATATAGGATAGGAGCCATTGTTATAGTATGAACTTGCGTATATTGTTGTTGATTGCAGTGTATCCAAAATTATATAAGAACTTCCCAGACATAGAACTCTTGAAATTCCTTGAAATTCTCTATTTAGATATTTGTTCTTCATCTGAATTATTCAAGTCTCTTTTGTCATATCGTCATAGAGTTTGTTGCATTGAAATTTTGGTCAATCTAATTGATGAGCAGGTAGTTAATTAAATAATCTTTTATCTATATTTTGTCTTGTTGTGATGAAAACGTTGGCTTTAATAGATTTTGCAGGGCTGTCTCGATTTTAACCTCTTCGTCCTTTGGTCACTCCCTCTCTGTCTTTCTCTTCTTTTTTCAGCTGATATATTTTCTTGAATATGGTAGACTATAGTAGCTTTTACCATTTGATTATTTGTTAAATGCACAACTATTTACATCACCATGATTATTATTGCAACTTCTGATTTGTGTCTCAGATGAACGGATGGTTTGACGGAATATTCCTTTCAACTGACAAAAACTGGGAAAACTATTTGCGCGCTACGCCATCTGCCGTCGAAAGTACGAATCCCATCTGCAAACTATACAGTATGTAAGAAATTGACCTAGAAAAAAAATTTTCCTATCATAATGAAAGAAACAACAAAATTAAAAAAGAAAGAAAACGTCGGAATATAAAAAGAGAAAAAAACGCAGCGAGGTTTTACCTTTGATTCTTAAGAAAAAAAGTCTATTGAAAAAGAATTATATCGGATAACCAAGACGGTAAAAAGTTAGAAAAAAAGAGAAAAGGGTTGGGTTTAGGGTTAGGAGGGCGGGAAGGAAAAGGAGGAGAGAGAAGAGGGAGTAAAAACAAGATATTCAAGTTAATAGTGTGTTTATATTACAATATAGAGAAAATTCGAGCAATAAAAGAAAGATCGACGCAAATGCCCCTGTAAAGAAATAAAGACAGGAATAAATAAGAATGAACAGTTTAATAGAAGAAATTAGTGGGTGGGATTGGGAGGGTTTAGTCAGTTAGGGTTTAAATGAATTAACAAAAAAAGAGTTAAAGTAATTACAATGGAAAAGTAATAGAATCAATATAGTAAATACATTAGTTACGTGATTAGGATTAATTTGAGAGAAAGGATTTGTACTTGAACAATAAAAACAGTCAAAACATATTTATGGTAGGGATGATGATGTGGAGGAGGTGAAGGAAGAAGAAGAAGAAGAAGAAGAAGAAGAGGAGGAGGAGGCGAAAGAAAAGGAAAATGATACTACACTCAATAAATTGGCTATTTTCAATTTTAATATTAATGGTAATAAAATACGACAGTTAAAAGTATTTTGAACAATTGTTACATAGGTAAGGCAAAAGCTAGGGAGAGTGTTTAGTAGATCAACCTCTCTTAAACGGAACCGACGGACCTATAAGCTTTTACTTTGTTCAAAGAACTACCGACGTTGTTTTTTTTAGGTTGCACAGAAAGAATAAGAAATAAATTTTAATGATATTCTATTCGAATTATTTTCTATTCAAAAACTTTTCTAATAAATTCTTATTTTTAATAGGAAAAAAAATTATTTAATTTTATGACTTTTTTCTTCTTTATCTCTTTATTTATTCATTCATTCATTCATTCATTCGTTCGTTCATTCATTCATTCAGTCGTTCGTTCGTTCGTTTCTTTCGTTTCTATCGTTTCTCTCCTTTCCTTCGTCCCTTTCCCCTCTCTCCCTCTCCTCCTCTCCCCTCACTCCTCTCTTGAAAAGCTAACTTTTTCTTTTCAGATTAGTCGTTTACTCGTTTGCCAAATGATTAAATAGATTCAGTTGGATTACATGCTTAATCTAATCTTTTCTCTTCTCTTCTCTTCAACAAGAATACTAATAATAATATCAAGAAAAAGTAAATAATGAGTTTATTTAGACTTTTTATTCTTAATCTCAATTCTGGATATTATCGTCTTGACAGCTACAAATTACGAATAAAAGACTGAAGAAGCAATTACAATTTTTTAAATCGTCTTAGAAGAGAGACAGAAGAGAGATTTCTATAGAATTTTTCAAACATATATTTATGAATTTATATAACAGAGGATTGAAAATTTACACACGTTATTAGATTCATAATCCATAGATTTGTAGCTAATTATCTACAATGAGATAATTCTTAATTTAATCCCAAATTAAGTCTAAGGCTGATTAAAAAAGTAACAATATATATAGCATTTAAATTTAAATATTTATTTATTAATAATCAAATTTACTCGATCGTTAATTGGTTACTTCGTTCATGCATTCGTTCATTCATTCATTCAATTACTTTTATGTTGAAATGATTTCAAGATTAAAAGGAAAAAATAATAAAATGAAAAAACAGAAATAAAGTTTTTTTTTAAAAAAAAAAAACTCCCGATTGAGAAAATACGAATAGAAAAAATTCACAGTTTTATGTTCACGCTATTTTATAATTCATCCGACAACCGCCAATTACCTATTCAATCCAACATTCGTAACAAGACGTCAAAGTTTCCTCTCCACCAACCAATCGTAACCCTATAAAAAGGTCATGTGATCGGACCTCCCGTCGTTTAAAGAGATTAGTTTCAAAATCAGTCACTTGTATCTGTATTTGTATCTGAAGAATGTCTCGCAACATATAAAGAAAAGAAATCTCTTAAGATGGACTCTTCCGATGAAGAGATTGACGTTGTTGATGATTTTGAGCCGAAAATCTTTTTCGAAAAGGAAAAAGAGAGCGTAAAGGTTAACGATGAAGAGGATCTCAAGTCGAAAATTGACTTTGACAGTGAAATATTCAATACGAATAAAAAGCAGAGAAGAAATAGAACTACTTTTACAGCCGATCAAATTGAACAGTTGGAAAGAGTCTTTCAAACAACTCATTATCCCGATTGTACACTTCGAGAAGAAATTGCCGATAGAGTAAGATTAACGGAAGCGAGAGTACAGGTAAGAGAGAACTTTTTTGAATTGTACGAAATTTCTATTTCATTTTTTTCCCTTTCTGTCTTTCTCTCTCTCTCTCTCTCTCTCTCTTTCTTTCTTTCTTTCTTTTATAATCAATCAATCGCCTTTTATTAGTATTCAGTTTTTTTCTTCTTCTTCTTCTTCTTCTTCTTTCTCCTCTTAAGTTTTAAACTACTTAAAGAACATGGGATTATTCACTCTAGCTTTTTTACGTCTCTGCTTAATTTTTACTTTTCGTGGAAATATTCAAAGCTTTTGCAATTGAATAGAAACATTTGCGTAGAAAATAGTAAGGCTAAACGAATGAACGTCACCTGCCCTTCGAAATTTAATTACAGACCACAAATCCTGTTGTTAAATCGACCGTAAAATATCCAAATCTAATGAGCTTGTTTGTAAACGACTAATTATGATATTTTCATTGTAAAAAACGACGGGTGGCCCAACTGAGAAGGACGCGTGTAATTGGCTCGTTAACACACTCAAAAAAGGCGATTAATCCGATTTGTTACGTAATTGAATGCCTATGATGTAATCGGATTTTAAAATTGTTTTCAACTATGGAAATTATACAGGTCTGGTTTCAAAATCGCCGCGCTAAGTACAGGAAACAAGAAAGAGGTCTACCACTGGGTAATTCTGACTTTCGACTTCAACGACCTCTATCGCCTTTCTTGCAACATCCATTTTTGCTTCCACGAAACAATCCAAGTTTTCTCCCATGGATTCGTCCACTTCACGTTGAACTACCTCACTTTCTGAATATGTTACCACGTTCTAAATAGACTGTTAAAATCTCTTAATAAAATTTTTTCTGTATAGTTAACGTTAGCCTCTTAAAAAGAAGAGAGAGAGAGAGAGAGAGAGAGAAAGAGAGTGAGACGGACAGACACACCCAGAGGATAGATTTTATTACTTTTTCATTCATTTTATGATAGAAAAAAATTTCAATTCTTTCGACTAATTAATTATTCGCCAATTAAAGAATGAACAGGGAGAAAGAAAAGGGTAAAAGTTGGTAATTCGCCCTTTTAATCTTCTTTTACCCGATCCCTGCCCCTGTTTGTTTGTTTATTTATCTTGTTTATATCATAATAACAGCTTTTGTTTCTTTTTAATATTAATTACAGACGAAGAACAATACACTTTTTAATGAAAAATGATGATCTCTTTTCTCGTTTTTCCTTTAATTGGAAAATGATAATTAATTTGATTATAAAATTTTTATTAATTATTATTATTATTATACTTTTCCATTAGCTAACGTTTAGTAATACGCTTTACCGGTTTCGTAAACCTTCTCTTCATGATCGGTCAATAAGTAATTTCCGGTTTTTTACGAAAAAAAATCTACATGCACGTATATGGTTAGCCATTTATTGATTTTTAACTAATTGAATAATTAACGTACCAGTTTCAAAGACACTATTACGACAAAGGAAACTTTGTACGTTAAGTGCTTGATTGATTGAATAAATTGCGGGGAAACTTTAATAAGGTCTGCTAAGTCTTTGAAAGTTTCCTTATTCTCTCTCCGCCATCCGATATCCACTATCCGCTGGTCTATTAGTAAATACGTTCTCGCCTGCAGAAAATTAACTAATACTTTTAGACTCTTAAATTATTTCCTGCTCGAGTAATTATTCACAGATGACCAACTAGTCGAGTCCTTTTTACCCCAACAAGGTCACTAATTGCACTATAAACTATAAAAATAATAAGACTAGCCTTTAGCTGGAGGAGAATTTATTATCATTTTGTGCCGATTGAAATAGGAATATTTCTCTTTATATCCGAGTGAAAGGCGGAGAGAAGAGCTAATAGGGAATGTAAAACCTACAGTTTTTATGACATTCTCTTTGACATTGAGATTCTCCATCAGTATTCAAATAAGGTAGCTAATAGAACAAATTGAAATGGGCGTTAATTATTATTCCCAGAGTTAATTTATGCAAGTTTCTCCTGGAAAGTAGAATTGTAATTAACCTGAATCGTTATATCATATAAGAATAGAAAATCTATTAAATATGGCTGAAATGGTTGATTGTTCTTGGAACCCAATATACAGTACAATGAGTATAACTATTAACATGTAGTTGGTTGTATGGTGTGAAAATGACATGGTCATTTGTTCAAATTTCAAGGTCAGACCTGTCTGTTTTTTTAACTTGTATGATTTTTTGCATTTTCTTTCTCTCCCCATTAAATGTGATTAGGAATAAAAAAGTTGGAAAATTGAGGGAAATAGTCTAATTTCGAAGGGAAAAAAACAGCCCTAAAAAGTGGTTCATTCTTATCTGAAAAATACACTTTTAGATGCTATCAGGGTCAGTATTAACTCGGTTTTTTTGACCCAGTTTTCAATGTATTAATTAGTGACATTATTAGGTCGGAGTTAGTCGATTACTACATAGCATTTAGAAGAGAAAGAGGGAGAGAGAGAATGGACACGAAGAGCGAGAAAAACCCCCTGAAATATTAGTATATTACACGATTGGTTTGAGTATATTCCATATATTTATTTAATCATTTATCAATTAAAAAATTTGTGCTATGAAAGCTATTTTTTATTGGATTTGGGACTATAGATGGTGATATTTTTACGCTGAACTGCAATTCTAAAAAACGCTAACAGATGCTAGTACAACAGAGTCGATAAACAAATGCACCGAAAAATTGTAGTCGTATACTGTATATACAACTTCGAAAGGGCTTGACCATTAGGTGACGACTACCTAATTTCTCTTGTTTTCTTTTGAAAACACCATAGGAAACAACAAACGAACAAGCATCGGTAGCATCACCATCATGATGATTATCAACAACAGCAGTGGCAATGATAACAGTGGCAACGTCCTTAATAATAATATTAATAATATTATCAGAACTGGAAAATTGCAGTCTTTTTTTGCTATCAATTTTTGTTATTAGTTTGAATAATAGTTTGAAATGAAATTGCAATTAAAATTGATTTAATATGGTTATAAAACAAAAGAAAGATGAATAGTTGTTTGTTCCATTAATAGAGAAGAATTGTCTACTAACAACCGGCGGCGAAAAAAGGTAATGTATTACTTACACAATTAATTAATTGACAATAAATTTGAAAAGACTTATTTGAATCGATTGAATAGCCTTTTTATGGAATGCCATTAAGATTTTTACACAATAATTACAGTAGTTTATATAAGGAAATTACGTTTGTTTTATTTATAATAGTAATCGACAATTCTTAATAAAAATGGTATAAAGCAGGGAAAATCTGACCGATTTGGTGTTGAGTAAAAAGACGCAAAAAGAGAATCGTCTACTGTTTTCTTTACATTTCTTTTTTAAGACAACAAATGAACCATAAGTTATAAGACGGTCAGAGTAATGACGATTATAAAAGATATGACATAAATGACACGGTTGTCAAAGAAAACGGATAGACGTTCTGTATTTAACAGGTTATGATTGAGGTATTTGTTTATATACAGTATATATAAAGTAGGATATTACAGTATATTTTACTAGTCAAGAATAAATAAATAGCTGATGGTTGTCATTTAGTTGTTACAGGGGAAAAGAGAGCGAATGATTGTACAATTGAAAAAATATACAAAGTATAGTGTTTGGGTAGGGAGAGATGATAGTTTTTAATGTTAGTTATAGCTTTATTAGCAGCGGTCGTTGACGTTTAAAAGTAAAGAAAAAAACTATTATATATGTATGGCATACAGTTCATAAATAAATCATATATTTCCTTTTTTAATGCAATTTACGTTTTAGAATTCTATTTAGACCAAAAACTTTTCCGTTGTATAGAATATGTCGTACATAACGCCAACCTATATACTGTATAGAGCCAGTATAAACCTATATATATATATATATACTGTATATATTTGTGTGTGTGTAGGTATATACTTTTTATGTAAACATAGTATCTATAAATATACAATTCAATAATTCGATGATATTTTTTTACCTTTCTTTTTTGGAAATGCGAATAGAAGCCTATTTCAAGTACATCTATGTATAAAACTGTATGTTTTTTACCTTTATATTCCATTCTAGTCTTCCAGTTGACGATTAGTAAAAAAGACTCTTAATTATCCCCTTCTTCAATGTGTTGTTATTTAATAAAATTCGCTATTTAAGCTGATACCGTTGCTTGACAAAACATATCTAATTAGTTAGTATAGATATTTCTCGATAGTCCTACTGAAATAACACCATTTGTCTATAATTTTTTCATATTTTCAAGTGTAACTTTTGCCTCTCTCTCTCTCTATTCATTACCCCTGTGAAAGGTTATTTTAAAAGTTATAAGGGTGGACAGCTGATTAAAAATACCATAACTCTTGAATAAACAGGATTTTTTGCTGTTGCCAAGGATGGAGAGCAAATGTGAACTGTGGAGAGGAAGAATGAAAGGATAGAAAATGTAAAGATAGGTTTGTTAGCAACTGAATGTAATTTAATAAAATGAAACAATTAGTATAATATTTCAATTTATGCCTATTTTTCATTATTGATTAGAGAGAGAAAGCGAGGGAGGAAGAGAGAGTAGGACAAGTGGGTGGAGGGGGGAGGGGAGAGGCAAGTGTTTCTATGCAAAAAAAAAAGAAAAGAAACGCTATAATCGGTTGAAATGAGGATAATTAATCGAAATACTTGAACAAATTGTACAAATTTGCAGCATATGCTTCATCGAAAAGCGATAAAAAGTATATTCTTTAGTTTAACGTAAAATTTGCTTAGTTTTCATTATAATTTACTTTTTCTTCTCTTACCAATGGAAATATCGCCTACAACTATAATATTATTAGTATTATTATTATATATGGCATATTCTATATATTTAAACACAATGTAATGATACATGAACCGGAAAGGAACTGTTCAAGTCAACCCTTAATCATTTTCACACTTCTTTCCGTTTTACCAACAACTTTTGGTAATAGATGGCATCTCTAATACAAATAAACAATAGAGTTCACATCTAGGTAGCGCTACCATCAGTTGGAATAGGCCTATGAAACAGCGCGTTATCTCAAGTGTATCGTTGCATGACCGCCCTGATAAGCTGTATCCTGTGTTTGGACTGCTTATTTTGTATTAATGCTGAAAAAATCCTACTAATATCCAATCATTTTCTCTCCTACAGTCACTTTTTACCAGGTAAGAGTTTTCTTATTCAAATTATACGGGAATAAAACGACAAACTGAAACACCCTCGATGACGTCACTATGATTACGTCACACGACTCCTCTGTCATCGTCGTTTCCATGGTAATGGAATCGACTCGGCTGTAACGGCCGTCTCGCATGGCCGGATTGAAAATAGGTCGGAGTCGTCCCTCGTGGGCGGCATCTTTTCGTATCGGCCGTAGGTGGCGTGCTCTTGCTGATTAGACATTAGGCCTAAACACCTAAAGCATATTAATGAAGGTTTATAGAATGAATTCTAACGTTTGAAGCGGGTTGAAGAGTTGCACTCTAGCCCACCAGAGTTACATTTTTAATATATATATATATATATACATTATATATTAGTATATATATTGTATACTGTATATATTATATATATGATATATAGTATATCTGCTTATACTGTCTAGATACACACAGACACATATATATATATATATATATATATATATATATATATCTATATTGGATCTTAAATATATATATAGGCACACAACAGTATACTCTATGTATAATGTAAGAGTATTGGTAGCTTATCGCGTTATTTTGGCCTGCCTCATCACATAGATGATGTACACTGCCAAACAGGAACATGGGTACAGGCTTGATATTTTTTATTTGAATTATTCAGTAGATTCATTAGATTGAAATGGAATTTAGGAAAAGGAGGGAGGACGGAGGAGAAAGAGGGAGGGGAAGAGAGAAAAAGAAAGAGGCAGACAGATAGACAGACAGACAGATAGACAGATAGACAGAGAGACAGATAGACAAATAGAAAGAGAGGAGTTGGGGCAGGGGAGCCGGTTCTAGTGATGATTATAGCGATGAGCTCGGCGGAAAGGGGGAGGAGACGAAAAGAAATTTGCAAGAGAATATGCACAAGTGTGGTAGGACATACGAATCGCGTGCCTCAAGGATAAAGACTATTAGATTATTAATAAAAAGTTTAAAAAGAAAAGAAATGAAAAGGGATAAAAGAAAATAGTAAGAATGTTTAAAGATGGAGACGAGTTGTAGGCATCATCAACCATTAGAGCAAATAATACACATATAATATTTACTAAAGGCCTATAGGTATAAAGTAATTCTTGAACCGTTCCTTTCTCCTTTATTAATAATAATAGCTAGAGAGTATTTATTTAAAAGAGAATGATGCTTTTCTATGACTTTCAAAGATATTTAAAAGAATGGAAGACTAGACATAGGTATAGATTTTTCAAGTTTTACCATCTTTACAAAAAGTGGCATGCAGTGCAAGTAATGAAATTTACCGCTGGAAATTTGCCATCTCTTGTTAAAATGCAACTTCTTTTATGGATTTCTAGGCTTATTGGCCCAGGGGTGTAAACAGCTAAGTGTTGTGCTATAATGTTAATGAAGGCTATATATGATGTGCCTTTGAATGGTTGGGGGCAATGCTATAGATACGAGAGGTGCCACACTATTATGTATATAAAAAAGTCATTATAGCTAAATCATAGACAGATAGAGAGGCAGATATATCGAAAAAAAATGTTTGCAATCATTTCCTTATTAATAGTCGTAGCTATCTCAATTTCAACACTTGTATGATAATGATGGTAATAAATAATAACAATAGTACTACAACTAGTAGTAGCAATGACAATATTAAAATAAATTCTTTATGATAAGCAGAACAGACAAAGCTTAATTTCTATGTAAAAGTTTGTACGTCGACAACAGCTGTGTCTAATTTATCCAGCTTTGTATTACTTGTATTGTCTTGTTGAAATTCTAGAATAGACTTATAGATTTATTTAACTTTTGTTATGGCTCTTTTTGTTGCCTTTTGTATTCTTTTATAGAAGGTATTTAGGAAAAGTATACATATGGAGATAGTATAAATGTTGCGTAATAGATTAAGTATGCGCACAAGTGCACATATCTTTTTATTCGCCAGAAAATAATGTCTATAAATCCCGAGCCGAATGGGCCGCTGAATGAATGAAAGTATTTATTTATTTTTCTTAAAATAACGCCCTAACGTAATAAGCGTCATTTTTCAATTTAATACTGCAATATTTCGTCCAGTAAATATGGTAAAAAATTTATACGAGCAATTCTCAAATCCCAAATCACTGTTGTGTCCGTATGAGTTATTTTAGATATTTACCTCGAGCCATTCATTAATATACATTAAAATTTTCATTTCAAATAATACCAAAGGTAACGCCTGATAATGAAAGATATTCATGTGAAAAATAGACGCTCGCACAATCATACAAAATGTCTATCTTATATAAAAAACAACACTCTTTATTTTGTCTCTACAATTTCATTCAAGCCGACTACCAAAGTCTTATTTGAAATATGTAACGTAATGAAGTGTCCTCTTCCGGATTGCCATCAGGGGGAGCTTTTTAAGAATATTAGGGGGCGTATGTCATACACTGTATCGGGTATAGAACATGTATAATATGGTTCGCTTGTAATTGAAGTCAGACGCATGTGTGTGCTGTCAAGCTCATTTTCCCGAGGCGTTACGTTGGTGACGCTTCGTCTTTTTAACGCCTTTTAAGCGGTCACTGTCTTTTTTTCCTGCAGTAGAAAATACTCTTATTGAAATAGTTCCACTAGTCAATAGATATGTACATAAATCTATTTGTATCATTGGGAAAGATATGTGCTACTATATAGGATTATATCTAAATAAATATGAATAAGCGTAGTGGATACGAAATGAATTTTTACTTTTTCATTTCCTCTCTCACCACCCTATTCATCCATTCATCCATCCTTCTCCTTTTCATTTTCTCTCACCTCCCGAACGAGTAGCAAAAATCATCCATCTAGAATGAGAAAATGCAAAACCTTTAAAGAGAATTGCATTCTATGCATTCAGAGCAAAATATACAATATGCGTTATATATCATACGTATGTATCATGAAAGCCTCATCTATGTTTTCCTTTGATAGGAAAATTCCCATTTTGCAACCGCTACAAATTAATTTTTGTGCAGCTGCTTGTCGAGTTATTGTATAAGGTCGGCGAAAATTTACTTTTCTCCAACTTACATTAATTAGTTTTGCCGGCTAACTCAGCCTTCGGTTTATAGAATAGGAAAAAACCGACATGAGACGAGACAAGGCTATAGCAAAAGATGGGAGGGGATGGCCCGGCAAACACACACACACACAGAGAGAGAGAGAGGGAGGGAGAGAAATAGAAACAGAAACAAAAAGAGTGAAAGCGAGTGAGTGAGTAAGTGAAAGGGTTGGTTAAAGAGAGACTGATAGAATGAATGAACAAGAGTGAAATGAAAACAAGAAGAGGAGGAAAATAAGAGAGAAAAACAAAGACAAAGACGGTTGGCTTCTTCAAACCTTTAATTTGTATTCGATACATGTGTGTCGTAATGTACCGGTCTTCCTTTTGTAATCATTACTTATAGCTTTGCATTCATTCGTTTATGATGAAAATCATTTCTTCATACTGGAGAGGTTAGTTAAAATATTCTCTTTGCCTTTGTTGTTCGAGTCAACGTTAATAAACTTTAAACAAAATTGTTTAACTATTTTTGAGAGAAACAAAGGAAGAGTTAGAGAAAGAGAGAGAGAGAGAGAGAAAGGGAGGGAGAAGCGGGAAGGAAGGAAGGAATGAGTGACTGAGCGAGCGAAAAAGAAAGAGAAAGACAGTGGAGAGAATTAACGGAGAAAGAGAGAATGAGAGTGAGAAGGAGAGAGGCAGGGAGGCGGGCGGAAGGAGTGAGACACAAAAAGAGAAGGAGAGAAAAGAAAACAACAAACAAACAAATGCAAAAAGTAAAAGATGGTCTTGTAGATCTTTGAATAGGGAACAATACCTGCTACAGAATTGGAGACTCTTCTCTTTTACTACGTGCATGGCGTTTGGATATTGTAGTTTAAGATGGTCGATTTCCTAAGAAATTCAGACTAATTGGCGTTAATAATAGAGAATAACAATCCATTACGCGTGTTTTACTGTCTTTTTACTAGTCTTCTCTCTATCCAAGAATTAATTTTCATAAATATAGCTCTTTCCCATCTTTTTAAAAAGCAAACTTATCAATAATTACTAGAGTCAGGTCGACGCTTTTAGACGCCTTATACGAGTAAAAGTCTTGTTGAGAAGACCGTCTATCTGTTTTCACTTTCCATTTGTGAAATATGGGTTCTTTTAATGGGATCTTATCTAAAGTTTCTGCTTCGATGCCATCATAAGCCCCGTGGGCAAGACTGTTTCCTTTTCCTATAGTATCTTTCAAATATAAACAATCACATTTGCTTAATATTCAATTGACAGTAAAGAGATTTTCATTACGTAAGAGATGGAAAGTGAACTCAATATATTCGTAAAATATTCACGAGTGGTTTCCACTTGTCTAAGAAGCAGACGACTGAATAAGAGACGCTTCCCTCTTAGCCTTTAAAAACAAACAAAGAACGAGTGGCAGAAAGCAGAAGAAGAAGAAGAAGCAAAACAACAAGAAATACAAGAAACAAACGCACTGCCCAATCAACCGCAAATTTTGTCATTATTGATTATTAGTAAAAGAGAAGAAACAATATGGAAACAGCTATACTTAGTTTTCGCCAACCGTGCTAAATCGCTTAGTCGAAGTTTTTATATCCTTATCGCTTCTATAGTTGGCACGTTTTCTTTAATCAGCGCCATCTACCTATGTTGAAAATGAGAACTCCATCTTTTGTTATTAGACAGTAGAAAATCATTAAAATTTTCAGTTTTAATGAAAAGAAACGAAATTTTTTAACAAGTTTTTAAAACTAATCAATTTATTGCAAACCATTAAGAACTTTATAATGGGAAAAAACCTACAATTTGCAAAAGCGCCGCCTGACAAACAGTACAAACAGCGCCAGTCACGCACCTACGTCAGCTGCGCACGTTCGCCACGGCTCGATGCGTCTGGGCGTTGTTTGCAAAATTTTCTGCACAACAGACTTCTTCTGTATTTGCCTCCCTGAAGAAATTTAGGATTAAAAGCCCTCTTTTATCTTTTCTAATAGGATGAAAACAATGTTCATGAGGCGGAATGTTAGCGAAGAGGCTAGGTAAGTTCAAAATTTTATCTATGAAATTTTATTAATTATCACTTTGTTTTGTTTAGTGCAAACTCAAAACTCCTGTCAGTACCGGATTTAGGTTATTTATCGAAATTATACGTCGCCAAACCGGAAGCGGAAGCCATGGACCTGACATCAAAAGAAAAGGATAAAGAAAATGGTGATGACAAACAAAAAGAAGGTTTGATTACTAATAACAATTAGCAAGTTTTCCGTATAAACTATGTTTTCCGCCTAATTTAGCCGCCAAAAACGTTAATCAATACGGAAGAGTTTTTACGAATGGACGCCCTCTGCCGGAGGAACTTCGTTTTAAAATTCTTCAGCTGGCCCTTCAGGGCGTTAGGCCTTGCGAAATTTCTAGACAGCTAGCAGTTAGTCACGGATGTGTAAGTAAAATATTAAACAGGTTTGTAGAAACATTTACAATTACGTTTATCGGGCTAAAGATGGCGCTTTCTCTTTTTTGTAGATATAAGCGAACTGGAACTATTAACCCGGGCCAAATTGGGGGTAGCAAACCGAAAGTGACGACCCCTAGCGTCGTTCAACAAGTCAGGACTTATAAAAAAGAAGAACCCCATTTGTTTGCATGGGAGATTAGGCAAAAGTAAGTGGACAAATTTTAATTTTCTGTTAATCCATACTTTATACTCTTACTTTTAAATTAACTGCAAAAAAATCAAATATGACTAATCCTGACTTTTATCAACGTGAACAATTTTTCAAGAGAAGGAAAAGTATCATTTTGCGTCCCCATTTAATAATTCATACAAAGTATACAATTTTCCCTGTCTCTGTCCCTTTCTTCCTCTCTCTCTCTTCTCATTTTCTACCTATCCGCTTTCCCTTGCCTCCTTCTCTCCTCTTCTCGAATTCTTGATATATAGACATTTAATTACAGAATATTTATATATTCAACATATAAATATGTGCTCTCGTAAGAATCGTTTATACCGTAATACATAAACTAAATGATACTCGATGCCAAAACTGTTTGACATCTAATACTTTGAGAGATTAATTAATTTAAATAATTTAATGTACTAATTAACTTTATTTAAAATTTAAGGAAATTTATTTCCATTCTCCTCTTTTTTCATTTTGGCTGTATTGTTCAATTCTTCTAATGAATGACAATTTAAGCAAACAACAAAATTGATAACAAAAAAGAGACTATTGACTATATTGAATATGTAATTCAAGAAGGCAGAGAGAGAGAGAGAGAGAAAGAGGGACAAACAAACGGAGGGAGACGGACAGACAAACAAAAAACAAAAAATAGAAAGACTGAAGGAAAAACAAACGACAGACAGCAATGCAGAATTAGTTTGCACTATTTCACGAGAATTTGGGTATATGATAAATATTCCACTATTCTGTATATTATTGGCTTCTTTAATATAATTGCGTTTGACTTTCGCTAATACGAAAAATAAGATATATAGAGCGAAATCACGTAATCCTTCTTCTTCTTCTTGAGTTTTGTTGATTAAAAGTCTGGAAAAACTGCAACACCACTTTAGTTGTTTATTTGTCTTTGAAATTAAAGTTTAAATTACTTTCACTTTAGCTCTTGTCTACCTTTTGTTTGTTAATTTCTCTTAAAACGTTTTTTAGGTTAATATCCGATCAAATTTGCACCGAGGACAATGTCCCATCAATTTCTTCCATAAATAGAATAATTCGAGATCGTCAAATGACTCGTAAGGTTGAAGAAGCAAAACCACTTGTATCAAATGACAATCACGTCTCTCGACGAAAGGGAACACCTATCAAATATGAAGCAACAGAGGAAGACGAAGAAGCTGTCGAAGACGACGACGAAGTAGAAGAGGAAGAGGAGGAGGAAGAAGAAGAGGAGGAGGAAGAAGAAAATGAAAAAATTAGATTGGATAGAGTTCCCATAATTGCTCACTCGAACGGAATTCGACGAAATTTTTTCGTTTTTAATGACTCTGAAATTGAAATTGTTCACGTAGGAAATGGACGATGGGTGCCAAAATTTGATTTCTCCGACGAAGCTGTAGACTTGTCTCCATTTAAGACAAATTCTTAATTGAAGAAGACAGAAAGACTATTAACCTAAATTGTTTCATTTTTCCTTTTTTTTTATATTTCATATCTATATCTATATATGCAGCATATATGTTAATATATATATGTATATGTATTTATGTATGTATGTATGAATGAATGTATCTATGCATCTATGCATGTATACATACGTACATCATATGTATATATACAGTATATATATACTGAGAAAAATGAGAAAAACTGTCTATGAAATTGCACTGATTCTTTTGAAAAAGAAATTAAACATTTGACAGATCTAGTACTTGTTTATTAGCTTGTAGCTTTCTACTTGAAAAAATTATTATTTAAGAAATATTTACAGTGAATGTACGTACTGTATATACAGTACGTACTTAATTATACAGTATACTGCATACTGTATATTTAATGTATACACGAGAGCAGTTGTCAAAAATAATCCAACTTAATGTCAATACTCTATCTTAATAGCAACACAACTTTTATAAACATAAATACAAAAGTGGCAAAATAGAGAAAGAGAGAGAGAGAGGGAGGGAGGGAGGGAGGGAGAGGAGGGGGCAGGAAGGCGAAAGATGGCGCCACACTACGATTAGAAAACAATAAATACATACCGTCCAGGAGTTAAATCTGTTAGTTATTTTATTTGAAAAAGAAAAAGTAACCATAAGAATGCGATTATTTTTTTTAGATAAAGTAATAAATAAAGAATTAAAGGTAAAAATGTATCCTGAATAGTTTGAAGTACGTGTTTTTTCGTTTTTTTTTGCTATCAATAAATTTCAAATCTGGCAAAAAGGTATGCTGAATACAACATTTCTAAACTGATTTATTGCGTGCAAATCCCATTCACTAAATTGTACTAAGACTGTATTTTATTTATTTTCCCTTTTTTCTCTCTTTACATTTCTTCTTTTTCTTTTTTTTTTAAAAAAACAAGAAAAGAAACGAAATGTATCGACTTTGCAAAAAAAACCACAAATGACATGAATATTATATAAATAAATCATCCACATCATACTCATCATCATCATTGAAATGCCACTCTTTTTTAGTGTAATATATATATATATATATACATATATATATATAGACGTGCATATCTGGCGAATAAGAACAGTGTTAATATTTACAGTATTTGATTAATTACCGGCGTATTGTGTTTATGATAAACTGTACAAAGTTAATTGACATTTAGCCTCGGCGTAGATTATGATTAAAGAAAATTTTCAAGTAACTCCACTTCAACTTTTACCAAGTTGATAAGATGAAATAAGTTATAAAAAAGAATAGGAAAGAGGGGGTTTTTTTGTGGAGGGTAAAGGCGGCGGGGGTCTTTCTTTCCACTGGTCTTCTAGCTTTGAACAAGAGCAATTCAATACACTTTCTCTTTATCTTTTAGTAAAAGTAAGAAAAGCCAATAAATCCTAAATATTTTATACAAATAACCTGACACTTTTATATATCGTAAAATATAAACAGCATATATCATATTATGCTGATTATTTCTTTCAATATCTCTCTTTTATACGTTTATATACTGTACATACTGTTTTTAACTGTTGAACAAAAATGATCCTTTCCATACTGGTTCGGAAAAACACAGGCACCTTGTTTACTGGCTTAATGTTTACCAAATACAATAAATCAAATCAAGTCCTGATAAGTACTTTTCATAAGCCTAGATTTTACCCTTCTCTTTCCCTCTCTCTCGTTCTTTTCTTTTCTTTTTTCACTATTTCATTATTGCTTTTACATACGTTTAGTTGTAAATAATACTATAATTAACTTTCAATATCCGCTATCTTTTCTTTCGAGTGGGAAATTGGCGAAATTCTATCTAAACCATACAAATACGAAACGACAGGCTAGTTAGCCGAAACGTGCGCTATATCCTTATCCTTGGTTTGTCCACTGAAAAGGAAAACAACAAAAACAACAATATCAAGACCGCCGCCACCACCACCACCACCGCTACCACCACCGCCACCACCACCACCTACTACCACCAACTCCCACAAATCAACATTAGGCCAAGCACATTTCAGTCTTGGTTCCTTTCTTTTATTTTTGGTATTTTATTTAGTTTTACAGAATTGTATATTATGATCTTTGTTTGAATACTTGGACTCTTTTAGTAATAAATCAAATTAATCCTAAATTTATCGCCTTTTTCCAAAGATTTATAGACCTAATGCGTTCCTTGGTATCGCTGGCTTCTATTTGCTTGATTCATTGCTACGTCCCAACTATGGAAATATATTCCAACAAAATAGTACCTGTATCGTTAAGGAAAACAATAAATCAAGTGAAAAATCTTGATTTATTGCCTTTCAAAAAGTGCTATTACCAAGGGCTGCAACCTCCTTCAATCGGTCCTTTTGTTATAAGAAAAAAAAGGGAAAGAAAAAGGAATTGCACTTTTAACCAAAAATTTTCAAACTATTCAATCGATCTATTCTTTCTCATAAATATATATGTTTATATTTTATCCCTTTCAAAGGCCGACCAATAAGGAGAAGGATGAAGAGGAGAATCGTTAAGAAAAATTCAAGATTTCCTTAACAAAACCAATTTTAAATAGTTTCTTTTTTACATTTAAATATGTGTTTTTATACTCTTGATATAATTGCCATCTTGTTTATGCAACTACATCAACAAAGTAACCAATCAATCAGCTGTAGATTATATACTATGAATATTCACGACGCACTCTTATTGGCTGCCCGTAACCGCTATTCAAGTCTGATTGGCTAACGGTTTTCGTTTAAAAGATCAATCGCCGTTCTTCCTATTTAGAATCTTGAAGGGGGGCTATAACTTCACTTATTACATAACAGTTTACGTTCTTGGATATGACACGATTTAGAAAATGATTTCAGGAGTATTTTTGTCGTTTTTCTTCCTCGGAGCCTGCTTTGGTATTGAATGGCTGTAAGTATGTTCAAAATCTTATTAAAGAAGTAAAAGACAGCAAGAAAAAAAAGTTAGAAATCAATCTTTGAAAGGTGAATTCAAGTTCAAAAGAGAAATTTGTCCAGAGTCAAAGATAAGACAAAGATCCTTTCTCTCTTTTTTTACACGGTCGGTAGAGATAAGATCGTTTCCTGTGTGGAATTCTTACCTTCTTTATGTAAATTTCCCTTTTATTTATTTCTAACAAGTTGGCGAAAATGAATGACAAATACGACTTAATATAAATTGAATATTTACCAATAGATAATTAAAACATTCAAGTATTTCTTGAATATATATATATATACAGTATATGATATCGTTTATCTATACAGTATAGATATAGATATTTATATGTAATTGTTTAATACAAACTCTTTTCTGGTATGTCAATCACTTTTCAAAGTTTATCTATTCGATCAGGCAGTTGTTAAAGATTATATGTTGTATATATATGTCGTAAATTTCTATTATTACCATTATTATTACTATTAATTGATTATTGTTGTTACTATTATAATCGATTTAATAGAATTATTAATATACATACATTTACATAAATTAACAGGAAAGTAGCGAGAGTCCATAAGGATAATGAAATTTTGAAAAATGTAGATTATTGTAAAGATATCAAAGGCCTAGTCGACTCGCAGAGAACTTTATGTCGGAAAAACCTTGATGTCATGCCTTTTGTCGCTGGAGCCGCTAGGCTATCGATAGCGGAATGTCAACATCAATTTAAAAGTAGTATATGGAATTGTAGTAATCTCTTTACAGACATTGTAAAGGAACGTAAGTATCTGCTCGAATAATTTCCAACTCAGCTGTTTTCTATACATTTTTCTTTCTGGCGAAAAGCGACGAGAGAGAAGGCGTTTGTACAAGCTCTTTCGGCGGCTGGAATTACTCATTCTGTTACTCGGGCTTGCAGTGCAGGGCGGCTAGAATCCTGCGGTTGCGATGGAAGCATTCACGTTGAAGGAAACGAGGTTGATAGACCAATATTTTCTTTTTCTCTTTCTTTCTATTTTTTATCTATACCACGTGTTTGTATTGCAAAAGAATTTTTTTTAACGTTGTCCACGATGGGTTTGGTGGTTAAGGACGAAGATTTTTCATAGTCGAATTGCACTTGAAAAGTCTTCTCACTGCTATTTTTGTATTGAATAGGGTAAACACGTTTCTTTGTATAAACACGTCAGAAATTGAGCTCGAGTAGCAATTGTCTAGGACAATAGACGCTCGTGAAATTAAATTAGGGTGGCTTTTGTGCAAAATTACTGATTCGATTCGAGAGAATGACGAATAAATGCGAATTTAGAATTTTAGGTGTCGGATGGAGAGATATAATTAGACTGTCAGTAGTACGTAAAAACTTAAGGTTACGATGACATCTATCACTAAATCCTATTATCCAATTTATCCTTACCTCTTTGTAATTGGTCCAATACGACACGCGCGTCTTTTAATCGTATTAACAAACTTTTACTATTGAATAGGATAAATATTTGATTCAATCTGAACGGAGGTTGTTATTAAGAACAAAGGTGCAACTGTAGACCAAAAAAAACAACAACCATCTGTTAGTTATAAGTCATGCTTAATGTATCATTAATCTCCTAAAAATAACATAGTTTTTTGACATACGAAGTATCCGATAACCTCGGAAATATCGAAATTTATCCATTTGACTTTCGCTTTATTCTCTCTTTAACTGTATCACGTAGGTATAATATTATTTCGCTAGAAGTAACAATTTTCCTGTCTGTCAGCCTGTCTGCCTGTCTGTCCATATCTATCTATCTATCTATCTATACGTATAGCTATATAGAAAAATGTATACATTCCATTCAATTCTCCCTTGTCCTCTTTCTCTTTTTCTTCTTCAGCTTCCTCCCCTTCTCCTTCTCTTTCCCCTCCTCTTAATTATTTCTCTAATTATTTCTATTTTCCTTTGTATTTAGGCTAGTAGGTAACTCAACTGTAAGACACCTGCTGCTATTTCTTTAAGTATTATTATGTATGGGAAGCAAAGGTGAACAGATAATTGACAGAGTAAGTTGGATAAAAGAAGATTGGGCAGTTATGTAAGATAAACAAAGACCATCAGTCTTTTTCTTTCCACTCGGAGTTATGTAAAAAAACAATTTGAGTAATTTAAGCAATTGGAATTCTTTCTTTTAATTGACCTAGATCAAGGGGAAAAATTGGTCTGTTTTTGACACGTTCAATTCTCAAAACGTCTCTTTGTCTTTCTTTTTTTTTATCGGACCAGAATCAAAAGCGTTTCTGTGGAAATTTCACACTCTAAGAAACAAGACAAAAAGAAAAGAACAAAGTGAATTCTCGTTGTTGGAATTTTTGTTTGAACATTGCCTCTCTTTATCTCTTTTTCGTTCTCTTTCTCTCTCTCTTCGTTTCTTTCGAAAAATTATTAATTATATAGAATTGAAGAGTAGTTGTTGTTTTTGTTGTTGTTGTTGTTTCGATAAATAGCAGTTAGAAGAATTGAATAGAAGAATTCTTTGAATTCTATTGAATTCAATCTATAAGAGATGATCGTTTTTACTAGTTGAACAAACAGTTCAATTAGTTTTTGTCTATTAAATTGCAAACCATCAAATTTATATTTTTACCATAAAAACTTTAATTAAAAATGTTTTCTTATATTTAAACTAATTGGTTTGTCTTTTTTAATGTTTTTATAGAGTTTTAAGTGGTCTGGCTGTTCGGACAACGCTCACTACGGCATGTTATTTAGTAGAAAATTCGCAAGAGCGAAATATAATAGAAGAAAACCAAAGAAGAAATCGGGATTAACTTTAGAAGAGTACATTTCGAGAAAATTAATGGCTCTTCATAATTACGAAGTTGGTACAAAGGTAAGATTTTGCGCTGTCAAGCTAAAAGTTTCATTTAAATATTATGTAACCCAGACGGAGAGGCGTCTTTTCTTACCTTTTGGGATTGCAATGTATACTAGTGAGAATTAACGTGAATAAGTCGTTATTCACGCAGAAACTGTTTAGAATATCGGACACCATTGTTTAGTTGATTGATGGCGTTCCAATAAGTCGTTTTTTTGCGTTTATGGGTTTCATAAACGGATGAGTGACGAGCAGAGCTTTGTTAAATGGTCTCTTTTGTTACAAATATTCCTCTAATAGGAAAATAGTTGATCTTTTTCAATAGAGAGAATATATTAGTATATACTGTATATATATATATATATATATGTAGGACAGCTGAACAGCTGAGAATGAGCTCAAATTTAATTGTATTGAAAATTCTTTATGCTTTTCTGATAGTTAATACCGGAAACGATGGTGAAATTATGCAAATGTCACGGTGCCTCAGGATCTTGCGGATTGAGAACATGCTGGAGGAAGATTGTTCCGTTCCGTAACATAAGTTCAGAAATTCGAGAACTCTTCCACAAAGCCGTCCTAGTGAACATATATTCCAAGGGAAGAAAGAAAGCTTTAGTATCTGCTGAAACGACAAAATCGAAATCGCAATATGACCTTGTATATTTACGACCATCTCCAGATGTTTGTGCGACAAATAAAGACAGTGTAAAGGGTCGGCGATGCTCTAAAGAAACTTGTCCGTCAATATGTTGCGGAGGAAGCGTCGTGCGGAGGGTTGTTATCGTAGAACACAAGTGTTTTTGTAATTTTAAATGGTGCTGTGAGGTCATTTGTAAAACATGTCGGAAAAAAGTGGTCGAGTATCGCTGTAAATAAGGAGTGCTACTTTTTTTTGGTATAACTTTCTTATGCCATTCATTCGTTCTTGTTTGTTTGATTGTTTGTTTGATAACAAAACAGAATAGTTTCACTAGACTAATAAGGTGCTATCTTCTTTCTAAATAATAAATCTTTTAATATTTAAAATCGAGTTGATAGATAAGAGGTGTTGTTTATATCTTGTAGACAAAAAACCCAGAAATAAGTATATAGAAACGATACGCCATCTATAGGGAAACAATGGAACAAGCAGAAAAAAGAAAAAGAATTGTGAAGAGTATGTGCATTATATAATCGCTTATAATTGTTGTACTATTGACAATTTGTATGTTTAGTAAATTATCATAGAGAAAAAGAAATTGTAAAGAAAACATTAATTAAATACATTGTTTGGTGAGAAACTAGAAGTTTTTTCAATCACTTGGACAGTGTTAGATTTCTTCTACATTGATGATTAAGAGTTGGCTAAGATTCAACTCTGAATCAGTTTATCCGAAACAAACGGACGGATAGGATCTCTCATAAAGCTACTACCTAAAAGACTTTTACTTTCTACAAGGTATATTGGTTTGATTGTTACTTAAATTTTATTTAAAGATAGCTCGTCTTAAGGTTTTGTAGCTATTAAATGACAAACCTTATCTAACTATTTTGATGATGATTTCGAGCTACGATTATGAAATATCAATTTCCTTTTTAAGTTGGGTAGTTTAACAACTAGGTTTTAATAAAGTAGAAAGTGACTACACTTTGAACGACACCCTTTTTTCGAGATAACTACTATTTAAACAATCGCAATATAACACATTTAAAAATTGCCTACAATGATTCATTTTTCTTTCGTCAGATTGGATTACCAAACTATCTTATTGAAACAACATTAATGTAGTTAATTTTTTAGAAAATGGCGGGGAACATTACATTAGAGAACATACAGGAATGCCGATTGGCCTGTGGTTTTACAGGACATGCTCCACGACAACTTTGTATAGAGTTGGTAAATGGATTAAAGTCAGCAAATTATTTGTCAACTAGAAATAGAATAGCCATCTTTTTGGCTCAGGTTTTTCACGAATCAGGTGGATTGGAGAACTGTGAGGAGATGAACTGTAATCCTGTGGCACATGAATCTTATATGTATGATGGTAAATGTTTTCATGGTAGGGGGATACTCCAAATTAGCCACCATTACAATTATAGAGCAGCAGGACATGGTCAAGGACTAGGAGATTCTTTTTTCGACAATCCAAGCTTGGTTCTTTCAGCTAAAAATAGCGTGAGTTGTGCGTTGTGGTTCTGGAGAACGAATATCATAAAAGACCCGGATTGGTGTAGTCCTGTGCTATAAACGGGCTTCTGGAATGCCATGGTTATAGCGCAAATCTTCAACTTGCCCAGAACAGATTCAGTCTTTATAAAATCATAGCGAGAACTCTAGGCGTTCCAGAGCAGCATTGGGCACAGGGAGGTCGCTGCTGCATTGAATGATTGGTCTAAATTTAATATTTATACATGTATTATCATCTACTTTCATATTGTTACTTGCTTATGTATTTTACTTTGAATAAACCATTTAAGTTAAACAATTGTAAGAAGGTTCGAGTAGAATCAGTACTGTTGTAACTTGCACACTCATAAATTTGCCATGCAAGAGCAGTAAAATATATTATATTAATATTTTCGCTATTATCTTCGATACACATACAAGAAAATGAACATTTATTAAATCGTTTGTTGCTCTTTTGAATATTCAATATGTACATAGATAGGATTGTTCTGGTTTCTTTCTATCAACAAAAATATAATTGCTTTGTTTGTTATTTTAAATATTGAAAACATTGGTACATTGTCCAGTTTTGCGGTTTGTAGTTATCTAGACATTCTGTGTATTGAAATTGGCAGATTTCACTTTTTACCAATAAAATATGCATCCATATAATAGGATAATGAAAAAATGTGTACCGCACTTTTAAAGGTCTGAATTGAAAAAAACTATTCATCCGAAACAGAGAGAGAGAGAGAGAGAGCAGAAAAGAGTGGGAGGAAAAGGCTTTTTGAATAGAAAAATTTGTGAATACTAACAATATTTCTTGATACAAATACTGTTTGATACATCTGACTAGAAGGTCATTTTTCACCTAGCGTTTTGATCGTGTTCAGATTTCGACAGGAATCGAATATTTTTGCTTTGGTAATATTTTGTTCAAAGAGAGGAGAGGAACATGCCCACTCTCTTCCCTATAGATAGGGATCAAATTCAAGAGGTTTTTATTCAATTATCTTCTGCAAATAGCTCCCTCTTTTTAAAAATATGTTACCTTTCTCGAAATGTCATTGTGTGAAATTTAGGAGACGGATAGAGAAGAATGCTTAGCTTACGGAGATCAGATGTGCATGTTTCACGAATTAACTAAAGGCTACATCTATTCGGATAGAACAAGGTATGTCTTACATATTGTAGTAAATACTATTCGTGCAAAAATGTTATATTAATAGAGGCTTTTCAAACATATTCCCGTTTGTATACATTTAAAGAGTGTGTTAACCTTATTTAATATTATATTGTAGTTTGTTAAAATAATCATTGAAATCATTAAACGATGCCCTTTTCTCAAAAAAACAAAACATTCAAGTACGAGATCGAAATGCCAGTTGTTTATCAAGCACAATCAGAACAAGAAACAGCCGAATATATCGGGGATAAGCGGTACAGTAATTTTGATAATAGTATCTCTTTTATAAGCAAGAACTTTATGATAGTAATCTGATCGATTAAAGCTTCTTTTTTCTTCCTTATCTTTCCTTTATTTTTTTAAAAATGCCAAACAAACAGCTATAACATTCGAAATATGCGTTCAAAATCGGTATAAATTGAATAAGAAGTATATGAAATTGAAGAAAGAATTCGAAGCCGGTAGAGAATTTTTGAATAAGGATGAAATTGAAAAACTGGAAAAGTCTCTTCGAGATGTTTACGTAATTAGACATAATAATTACGATAAATAGTTGCATTTGAACCTTTTCTATTCGTTATTTTCCCTTACAGGTCACAGTTGAAGCGGAGAAGAAGGATAATATCAAAGATCAAGAAAGATTACGCGGTAAGGCGTTAAGATACGGTGAAATAATACAGGTAGGCGTCTTTTTTTTTAATTAAACAAGAAATCTGTCTCCTCCATACATTTTTTATCTTGATAGCTCCGTCACATTTTTACGAACAAGTTCATCCACGTTAGCGCGTCCGATACAAGTCACATTATGAAAAACAAGTCTATAGTTAAACTCGAAGATTATAGCGACAAAGGAAGTTGGTTTCGTATTTTGCCTAGAGGAAAGATTAAAGTTAGCGGAGAAAAAGTAAGATGAATGAAAGGTTGATTGAATGATTGAACAATAAAGAATGACAATGCTTGAAGGTTACATTATAAATATCTATAATATGTGTCCTTGAATAGATTGAATACTCAGACGAGGTTGTTTTTGAAAGCGTAAGATTTTCTGGATCATATCTAAACATAAGTCCTTTTTACGAAATTGATAGTATTACGACTGGGTAAGAGATTCTGGCTTCCTTTGTATTTTTCTACAATTCTAATTCTTTCTTTCTTCTCTTCATTAATTAATTGATTAGATCGGAAGTTAACGTTGGCGCCGATTACGACAATTCCTATTTTTCCTTGAAAAAACATTACAGGCCTACAAATAATTCCGAAAACTTTTTAAGAGTACTTATCTTGTTTGTTATTAGTGACTAACAAAGATTGTTTACAATGTAACATATCAATTGTTTGTAATTTCTTTTATTTATTCGAATGAAACTAGGGTGGAACTGTTCTAAGACTTTTTCACAAAGAACTAGAAAGTTATCTATGTGCTGTAGGAGTATTTGGTCAGGATATAGAAGAAGATGGTAGGGGATTACTTATACTGTATACTGTATACTGTAAATTTATAATATAGTATATGCTATTATCTCTTTCCAGTTCATTTCCGAGTCAGAGTAATCGATCAATCGGATACTCGTACTCTTCAGCCTTCAACGTCTTCTAACATATATTGGCAAATTGAGAAAGTTGATGATGTTACTTCAGGAGAAGCTGTTTTATGGAAGGAACAAATACGATTACGTCATTTGACGACGAGAAAGTTTTTATCGTTAAACGCAGAGAACAAATTTGTTCTAGTAGATAACATTGATGACCCAAGAACTTTGTTAACATTTTATCCCCTTGCCGGAGTAAGTAGCCTTTTTACTTTATATCTTATTATTAATACGGTTCCGTAATTATGTTCCAGGCTTTTAGAGATGAAAAAATCGATATTAATTCAAATATTAGAATATTTCATGTTATATCGAAATCTTGGGTACACGGATCGGGAAGTGGGTGTTTTATCTTTGCATTGAAAGCACCTAACACTAAATAACATGAGCTTTTTCTCTCTTTTCTTTTTATAGATAACTACTACACGCAAAAGAACAAGAGTACTCTCTACAACGATACTTCGGAATTGCTGGAGGTATTCCTCTTTTCTTATCATTTCAAACTGATCCCAATTTCGTTTATATCTTTTATAAAAAAAAATTATAGGTAACCATTTCGCCTATATCAGAATTTCCAGACGTTTTGGCAATACAGCAGGTAGCTTACGAAGATTTTTGGGCTTTTAACTACGTGGCTGGAATGGTACCATATCTGAGAAGTTTAGTTGAGGAGAGGGCAAATGGAGCAGTTTGGAAGACAAGGGATGATAATGAAATTTGTAAAATTTTTAAAGAGTTTCGGGAATTTCTCCAAATCGATGGACAAATATTGAAACAGAGGCAAAAATTACTGCGGAACTTGCACATTCTGGAGATTTCTATCAAGTTATTATCATTTCCTATTAGTAATGAATTAGACGAAAAATACTTGAATTCGATATTTTGCACCCTCTGCCAACTGTTCGTTTCGTATTCTGAGGGAAAGAGTAGGAAGAATGCTAGACACATATCAAAGTATCTGGAATTTTTCAGAAAGAATATCGAAGGGAAGGTAAGCTTGTATAAAAGAAATATGAACAAAACGTATAACGTTCAAGCCTTACTTTAATATAGTCGGGACTCGGGATTGAAATATGTAAAATTTTCATCAATATAACAAAAGATAAGATGATAATTGTTGATGGAATTTCTCTATCGAATACTTCCGGTTTTATTGAATTTCACAAAACCAATCCGGTAATGGTTTATTATAAAATAAATTGAACGTTTGATTAATGTATTTTATACTCTATAATTCATTGTATAGAATTATAAAATGCTTGAATTCTTGGGATGTTTATGCGTTTGCGAAAATACAGCAATGACTGAAAATCAGAATTTCATATGCAAAAGTCTATTTGTCGATATGACAGATATAATGTTCAAGCTAAGAAAAGGCAGTAGCGTTGATAGTGATTCATCAAACATTCTATACATATCGACTGATGCTCAAAAAACATGGCAACCTCTACACAGATTTGTATCTGTAAGTTGTTGCGTATGTTTTCATTCAATTCATTCTTCTCTTGCTAAATTTCAGTCTGGAGGAAAACAGAACCCATTGCAGTATTTATATTACGAAAAACAACTGGAATTGTACGGAAAAATGTGTTTTGTAAGTTGAAAAAAAGTAGAGAAAAGATGAAATTTAATCTATTATGTTTCTATTACTTTTCGAATTAGGGACAAAATGAATATGCCCTAAATATTATCACCACTTCTGCCGAGTTGTTTAGCTGGGAAACGGCTCTAGCTGGACTGATATCAGAACAGATAGCCTATTCGTTTCGGTCAAAATTTTGCGATATCATTACAAGTGAGTAGGTAGATAAACCGATATATTAATTACCTCTCTATTGATCTTTAGGCCTATTTATCGATATCGTAAGTGATTCTGATGTAATTCGTACGGCTTCTTTGAATTTCTTGTACGAAGAAGTAACAACTGATTTAAAGAAGTCTAATACCTCAAGGGTAAGATCTATAATGATTAAAATTGCTTATTTGTATACATTATGTGCCTTCTTCCTCTTTGATATCAGGTTGCTAGAGATATAAATGCTCATTTCCCCCATCTAAGATGTTGGATTTTCGAATTTCTATCCGATCATAAAGTGTTAATTGCTAATAATATTGGTAGAAATCAATTTATTGGCCGTGTTAGTAGTAATCTTGTTTCATAAATTTAAATCAAACTTTCTCTATAATAAACCTTTTTCAGGTTTTAAATATGATAAAACATTTAATAAAATTCGGATATATCGGTTCAGCGTATGATATTGACGCTCTTCTACCATTGGTTCTAAGTATCCTATCCGGTTTTAACGATCTACCATCTTCTCCCGATGAAGGATCGAGTAAGGAAGAATAAAAAGTGTTGACTGTTTTACGAATTGCAATCATTCAATTCATTTCAATAGCTTATTCGATCAAAGCGAGACATGACGTGAATAATTATAAACTATACAGAAGATACGAGAAGAGCGAAAAAACCGATCAACTTTTATTAGCAAAGAAAGAGTGAGTATATTCATCTATTCAATATGAAACAAACACCCATTAAATCTGCTATTTCCGAGTAGAGCTCTTGAATTGATTGAATTATTGATGATTAATCAATTTAATCGTAAAGTTAAGGTAATAATAATAATACTAATAAATTTAATCAGTTGAACATTTATTACTAATAACAATATCTATATGAATATTTTCCCTTTGGATCCTTATAGCAAATTCTATCAATATTTAAAGAAATCGACCAAAAAGAACTACTACCGGTAAAGCAACATCATCCGCTAGGAACATTCCTAGAGAAAGTACACAGCCCGTCTTATTTATGGAACAATGTTAAATATCGAAGAGTTCTTAAGAAACTATTGAAGGATATATCGAGAAGTAGCGATTCGCTATTTTCCGTATTGCCTCAAATTTTAATGGTTAATTAAATAATTAAAATGTTCTAACGTTTAAACTGTTATTTATATTTTTAAAGGATTTAACGAGGTATAGTTCGGAGGAAATACTATTCAAAGTTATTGAGATTTTAGATATAATATCCTCCGATAATAATAGACTATTCGAAGTTGTTGAAAAGTGTCAGGTAAGTCTATTCTCTTTAGTTTAAATGAATATTTTATATAATACATTGTGTACTGCAGATACTTTGTTCAACAAGTTCCATAAGAGTTCATAGGCAAGTTTTATCTTCTATGCCAAAGTTATTGCAGTGCGTAACTCGGAAGATAACTCAAGATAATTGCCAAAATATTCTGACGATTTTAGAACAATATACAGAGTAAGAATTTAGTTAATTCATTCGATATATATGCACTACCAGTTGTTTTTGTTCATCTTCCACGTTATTAGATTATGTTATGCCGCCTACGACGAGAATGTAACTTTTACAGTGGGACAAAACATCATGATAAATAACGAAGTATTAGCATTCATTTACAACATGATTTCTAAGAGTAAAACGTTGAACATATCAATAGACGTAAGTAAATACTAGATACTTATTATCTCATTGAGTAACCAAACTACAATTACTTGAATTCAATATTTTATAGGACGATGACGCAGCTGAAATTAGAGTTCTTAAGGCTTCTTTGAAACTTCTTAAATATCTTACAAGGAAAAATGCCCACGTTCAAAAATATGTATTTGACAGATTCGACGATTTTATGTCTATAAAACATTGCGGTTCCAGTTTGGCTATAGCTATGATGGAGGTAGGCAAATAGAAGAGCAACATTTAGTCATTCATTCATTCATTCATAAATCAATCAATCAATCAATCAATCAATCAATCAATCATTATTCCTCTGTAACAAAGGTTTTTAGAGGACACGTTATGAATTGCTTCAATATTAAAAAGAATCACGTGCGAAGAATTATAAGATTAGTTGGTGTTCACCAGCAAAGAGCGCCCGAACTATTACATCTTTTATCGGGGATTGTTAGAGAAAGGCAAACTGGAGTATTGATAAAAAAAAATCAATTATTAGTTGTTCAAGAAATTATGACAAACTATCCAAAAATTGCTTATTGTTTGTCATACACAATCAGGAGAAGGTAATGAGCATCTACCTTAAAGTTTTCTTTTTTTCTTCGCCAGTATTAATAATAAAATCTTTATGTTGATAACGAATTGTCTAGAATGAATATCCTAATTGGACACGAAGGAAAAGAACATGAGAGTTATCTTGTAGAGCTTGTACGTTTATTGGCAATATGCGCGGAAGTAAGTTGAATATATGCGTTTAATTATTGTTTGAATGGAATTCAGTGAAATTCAATTTCCAGGGAGAAAATCGATATATTGAAAATTTTTGTCAAACTTTATTTTCAACATCTGAGTTATTAACAATTCTTAATAATAGATATATAAATATGAGAAATAAGGGCATCTTTGCCAAATATCTTACGTGGGCATACTTAAAAACTGCTAGATCTGAAATTGAAAGTGGCGTTGACCAATTCACGAGCGACTTTAAATTTTGGCAGCATTTAAAAGCTTTACGAACTCTATTAAATCGACTTCAGTTGAAAGTTAATGTTAATTCAACAATAGATGAAAATGGGTAAGTTTAATTCTTAAATGAAGCGAGTAATAGAGAACTATATTTTCCTCTTCATTAGTGAAAATAGAGTAGCATCAGACGAAAGAATCGATGAATTGTGTACTTATTTTCTAGATGGAGGATTGGAGATGTTGAATGTATATCTTTCAAAATATTACAAATCGGAAGAGCAGTCTCACGAACAAGAATTTATTATTAGAAAGCTAATTAACCTTCTCAAAGTTAGCGTCTTTCAGTGGTTATCGTATCTTAGCCGAATCGTCTTAATATTTTCTCTTATCCATTTAGATATTCTTCCCGAGTATTATTCAGAATATGACAACTTTAAACCACTGCCATATTGTTTATACAAGCTTTCAGATGTTCCTTTTAAAAACTAAAGAATCTCAGTCGGAAATTTCTGAATTCTTCAGCCAAAACAATTTCTCATCATTTGTCGAAACGATCGAACAGAGAAGCGATCACGTTGAAGAAATTTACGATAGCCAAGAAAAAGTCTTGAAAGGATGTTTAAAGAATTTCGTAAGTAATTGCAAAATCATTATCCAAGGAAAAGATACGCTATCTTACGTTTTGAATATAAAAAGCGAACAGAGTACGTAAATATTGATTAAATATTTGACTCATCAACTAGACTATCTTCTCTTTCTTTATCCTTTTAGGATATAATCATGAGGATAAAATAATGTTTATACCAGTTAACGAAGAATTTCAACAATTAGTTAACATTTTCGACGATGACTTTCTATGTTCAAAACTGATTGATTTCTTAAAAATTTCAACTAAAAAGAACAGAAATGTGGCAACTGATGCTCAAGAAAAGTTAGAGATGAAATGTATGGATATACTTAGCGCCTTATTGTATAATAGAATCCTTGCTGTTGAAAAAAGTTCTCCTTCTCAAGAAGAAAGGTAAAAAATACATAACAGCTAATCAGTTTATATTTAAGTTGCATCTTTCAGAAAACTCTGCTATCTTCGACAGAGGCAATGTCAGTTTGTTGAATATGGTATTATTCCCTGTTTAATGGACATTCTAGTAAGGGATAGCGATCCAATTCGCAAGAAAGTTATGGTTCTCTTTGATCGTTTACTATATAACGCTTTGAATCATATTCAAGTAAAAATAATGGAATATTGTAAGAGTACAAAGGAGGAAATATTCTTTTTGGTCCTTGAAACGTTTCTCAAACGTGGAGCTATTGAGAGTAAAGAAAGGTTGTTATTTCTAACCGGGATGGGTGGGAAGGAAGATTGACATTACAGTCATTCCAATGAGAAATCAATTGTTTTAATGTCATTGCAGGAGATCTCTTCGAGTTCAAATTCAGCAGAAATCAACAACTAAATACTATAATAAAGACAAAAATTCTCCTGAAAATAAAAGCCTTGCCGGCTATACTACAGATGACAACAGCAGCATTAAGGTAAAAAGTACTGGAAACTATTTTCCTCTTATTGTGAATAATCTTGTAAACGATTCTTTTGAATTATTTTTGTAGACTGCTACTTCAAATAATGAAAGAAAAGCTAAAGGTGGCAACTGGGTAGCTCTAGCCCGACAGCGAAAAAGTTTGGCTTTTATTACGATGGCCAGAACTGTTCTGGCTAATAGAATGCTCCCTTTGCAAAGAAACAATAATAGATTCTCCGACTCCCTTCAGTCTGTCGAGCTAAAGGAGTTGAAAACGCAAAAAGATCCAACATTTATTGAACAGCAGCTAAAAGAGTTTGTTCCCGACGGAAGTACAGAATTAATAATAAGAGTTCTTGGAGGATTATGTTCCGGACAATATCTTTCATTACAACTTTATTTAAGATGCCAAGATGATAATTTAAGAAAAGTAAATATTGTACAAGAAATTACGATATTCCTTTCCACAATTTATAGTTATGTGGACAACGAAACAATTCAGCTAATATCTCAAACGATCAACTGTTTAAAAGAAGTATGTTTGGGATACCATGAGAATCGTTCGGTTAGTTAATTACTGATAAGTTTAATTGGAAATTTGTCTTTTACTTATTTAGTAAAAGATAGATAAAGAGAGAGAGAGAGAGAGAGAGAGAGAGAGAGAGAGAGAGAGAGAGAGAGAAAGAGAATGAGTAGCTGTTTTTAGTTAATTTATTTACAATTCTTCCTTCTCTCTTTTCAGGTTATTCTCAACAATAAAGTCATAGATTTTATAAATTTTCTGCTAAGAATGAAAGAATACAAGCAATGTACGCCAAGACAAGTTTTAAAACTTTGGTTGAATATAAGTAATCTCTTAAGGGCTCTTGTTGAAGAGAATTCCTCTGAAGCAATTGCACTTGCCAAAGATGTTGCGGCGACCCTTGACTTTTCTATGTTGAAAAAAGTCATTCAACAATGCTACGAAATTAAGGAAGCCAGTAAACCAAACTACCTTTCACTAATTGGAGAGGAAGAAAATCAAGAAGCTACATCGAAACGACAATCTGACCTGGATGGGTTATCAGCCGATTGTGGATTTTCCTTTTATTTACTGTCAGCTCGTCTCTTAGATATTGATAAGAAGTTGAAAGATCGGTATTACACAACAGCCAGGGATAAAGCCATATGGGATTACTACAAGAAGAATTGTGGTTCAATTGAAATAGTAAAGGACGATTGTTTACAAAAGGTTCATTTTAGAATAAAAACAGCAGGAGCAGTTAGGGAAGAAGTAAAAGAAGTTATTAAATGGAATACGGATAGATCTTCGGCAACTAGTAAATTAAGAGATTTGATAAAATGGGGAAAAGATACTTTAAACGTTGTACCTCATCAAAAGAGACTTTTGGACAAAAAACTATTTAGGCAAGTCAAATGAAAATACAGTTTTTCTCTTCTTTATCCTCTTTCTCTTGTTATTGTTGTTTTCATTTACAGGTTTATATCAAAAACTCCAAATTTTTTGAATATCCTTATTATAGTATTAAGTCTAATCATAAATGTTTTTATGATGGCTACTTGGAAAATGGACAGCTCAGAACCGGCACAATCCATAGACTCTAAAAGATCAGCGAAAGGAGGTGATCAAGAACAATCTACTATCAACGTTACTACTTCAGGCCTATCATCGTTAGTTTACATTATAAGGAAAATCGCTTTCAAATAATATATTTATTTACAGACCAAAACCTGATATAAGTATCGATAAGAACGTCTACGATAAGATATTTCTATCATTTGCTATAACTCATAATATAGTATCTGGTTTATGGCTTTTAACCTATTATATAATAGACCATCCAGTTTTGAATATTCCTTCATTTTTACTCCCTTTTTTAGAAGGGTTAGACAATTAAGCATTATTAAATTAGATTATTAATTAGCTTGTACAGTTTATAGTCGACTATACGTTACATATGCAGTACATATATTTTTATCTTGTATAGTGACAAAAAGGTCGTTTATAAAGCTCCATCTCTGGCGTGTTCGCTGAAAAAATCCCAATTGGTCGCTCGGATCTTTAGTTCGCAAACTTTCCTCTACGTTGCATTTACTGCTCTTTCAATTCTTGGTACAAAATTTCACGGATATTTTTTTGCTGCACATCTTCTATTAATAGTTAAAGGAAATCCTCTACTACTCGGAATTATAAGGGCAGTTACTCAAAATGGTATTTTTTCTATACCTTTCTTGATAAATTATTGAATAAATGCTATTATTTCTTTATAAATGCAAAAGGTGTTTCTTTAATTTGGGTTGGAGTACTTGGCCTCATTATGATTTACCTGTTCAGTCTAGTTGGATTTGCCTTCTTTAGAACGATGTTTAATAGAGACGAGGAGATGTACTGCGAAACTCTGCTAGAGTGCTCTATTGCCGTATTCAGATACGGGTTAATTGGAAATTACGACGATGTAAGAGTAGCCATAGATAAGAAGAATTTAAATAAAAGATATACTACATACCGTATATAATGCTATCTTATTACTATAACAGAAATTTACTACAATCGACAACTACAAGACGTTTGCCAATTGGTCAGCTTTGGGAGCATTTCAGATAGCATTTAACGTTCTCGTATCTGTTATTCTATTGAATGTTGTCTTTGGTATTATAGTAGATACTTTCTCCGAAATTCGAAACAAAAAGGTCTGTAAGATTAAGTTTCTCTTCTAATCAAATTCTCTTCTATAATTGGATATATGTAAAATAATTATACAATTACAAAATGGTCTATTTGTTACTCAATTATAGTGGGATGCTGAAAGAGACATGAGGGACAGTTGTTTTCTATGCAGTCGGGATAGTTTTGAGTTTGATCGAACAAAAACGGTTAGTAAATTAATAAACTAATTAATTAAATATTCAATTAATTCATTAAGAAATTAGAAGTAGTCAGTTTCAATGGTTTCGTAGTTATTAATTATGAGAAATATTCGTTTTTATAGGGGTTCTTATATCACGTTGGAAAAGAGCATAATATGTGGGATTATATACAATATTTCGTGTATCTTAATGATACCAGATCGAAACATTATTTTGCGTTGGACTTGTATGCTTTCAGAGAGGTTTATTGCGCAATACCATCTATTATTTCATATTTAATTGATATATTCTACAGTTGAAAGCAGATTCTATCGACTTCCTACCTCTTGACAGAGCTTTATGCCTTTCGAATTTTGATGAAGAAGGATCCGATTCGAGAATTGATCAAGTTTTGGCGAATGTTACGCTCATTCGCGAGAGGCAGAAGAAACAAGCTATAAAGGCTCGTTTAAGGGAAGAAGATGAGAGAATGCTCATGTTTCAAAAAATATTTATGGATTATAAGAAAGCTATTGATCTGGAATCGGTACAAACCGAATCTATAGACGTTGCTATGTCCGAGTCCATAATTACTGATTCGGAAGTGTAGACAAACGCTTATAAAGACAAATATGATAATATCAATACTTATTTTATATCGAAAAGGAGGAGGAATACTGAAAAATAACAAACTATTTTATAAAATACAGAGAAATAAGAATAACATTGTTTCTTGTTTAATTGAGATTTTTAATAAAAAGGATTCTTTTTAATATACATAACAGTATCATCAATTCCTTGTAGTTTGTCTTTATCGCATATTCTATTCATTAATCTTAGACAGGGACCTATGTTTTGCGCGTTAAACACAAAGCCTTTGCACTTTTCATCTTCTAAACACAAATCGACGCAAACAATTAACGAATACTGTCCAATTTTATCCTGTCTACGTCTTAAGCAACTTCCCTTCACTTTGTAGAACGAATTTAGGGCTTTAAAGACTGAAAAGAGGACAGTAGAATTATTTTTATTCTCACGATTAAAGTTAAAAATCAAATTATTTACACTCTGGCTTTCTTTCTAGAAATGTTGTTTGAACTTTACCAGAAGAATTACATGAATTGGTATATGAATAACATGTATTGTTCGGTCCCATGACAATACTATTGCATGATATAATATTGATACACTTGATCGAGCAATCTTCAAGCGTTTTCACTTTGTGAAATATTATCCTTTTTCGACTGTTATCACAATATCCTTTCTTTTTATTGAAGAATACATTCTGATAAATGGCTGGGAAAATGATACTCATTCAAACAAAATTAATTATTCAATGTTATTAATTTATATACTTAAATTGACGAGGAGATGGGTAAAAAGTTTACATTTTTTAATCCAGTTCACGCCATACTTGAGTTTAGAGAGACCGTAATCTCGATACGATAATTTATGATAATTTGATTCGTGCATGAGAAATGATTTTCTAGATAATCAAGTTTGTTAAAATCAAAAAGACAACAAACAAACACTTGTAAAATTGTTTACCTAAATTGATTTTTTGGATAGAAAACGTCTGCCGAATGTTTTATCATTGAATATCTAGATAGGGGAACAGGCCACTTTACTGGTATCAATCGAGATATGAGGAGTCTTTAGTAACGAAGAAGGAGAAAATTGAAAAATTGTTATATTTCAAGAATGGAAAAGTTTACCTCTGTAGCATGTCCATATCTTCATCACCCCAACCGTAGAATAGTATATGATAACCATTGACTTTTCTGAATTGATGCGGTTTTATTGCAAATACTCCTCCAACGTTCTTATCTTTAGAAGAAAAAGTATGTTGAGAAAGAACAATTGTACGATGGACTTTTAAACAAAACATTCTACTTAATTACATAATTGGGTGTAGTTGAATTTGTCGACATGAGCACCCATATGCCTAGGTGATTGAATACAATTGTACATATGCCTTTTATCTTCTAATAACATATCAACGTCGTGGAAAATGATGCAATCAGGAACGAAGTATTGTTGAGCGACTAAATATCCAATATTCATGATTGCTCCCTTATTGAGCAGAAGTGGAGCCGATTGTTCAATAACAAAAATTTTATAGTGAATATTTTGCTTCGGTAACACTTTATGTAAATGATTAACAAGTATCTTTAAATGTTCCATTCTATCTCTATAAGGGATGACTATGGCAATTTTTTGAATTGCATTACAATGGCTCGGTTTAAACTCTCCTCCAAGATGGATATTGAGATGTTTCTTGTCAATATTTACCCAATCATAATTTCTAACATTATAATCAACAATGGCTTTATGGCCTAAATACAAAGTAACGATAATACAGCAGATGATTATGTTAATTGATTAAAAGTATTATTTAAAAGAAATGAAAAAAATGGAAAAGATACCTTTAAGTTTTGGATCACAATCACATATACTACTTTTATTGGCCAATCTCTTCATGAATATATTACAAGTTTTTAAATATGTATTTTTATAATATGCCATTGCAACTTCTGCGTCGTCCTTTGACCAAAATCTTTTCTCTATTACTAATATTGTAAAGAAATAGAGAGTATCAGGAAAGGTTATTATTAAAAACAGATTATTTAGACAATAAAGTACCTTTCTTGTTCGTATGTTTCAATGTATTAGTTTGATATTGATATATTTTAGGTTGTCCAGTAATTTTAAACATTTCCTTTCGCGTTAATCTATCACGTGATCTTTGATGTTTATAATAATAAAATAAATTAATTAATAAAAGGGTAACACAGAGCAGTGAAAAGCAAGGTAATAATCCTGTTTTCTTTATCAAAGGCATGGCAATTCACCTACTCTCCTCCATATGCTCTAGATGAAACATTTATTGCAGTCAAATGGGTAACTATGGCCCAAACAGTGAAGGTTCAACTATCGAATAAAGAATGAATTATACTGTCTACCGAGTATGCATATTTACTGAATTGTATTTGTAAAGCAAGACATATTGAAAAGTCTTATAACAAAGTTATAACATTTCATGGATAAGCTTTATACAATTTTAAATATACTTCAATGTAATTAAATATGTTTCAATTATCAATATATCTAAACTTTTATCTATTTCTTAACAAATGTAATGGCTCCTGTAACCATTTTCATAGAGCTTTTCAAACATTTAACTTTCTTTCTTTGGCAAGGATAAGCAGATTTCGCTTCGTATGTAAATGATTGGCATTGCTTATCGTGTAAGCATAAATCCGAACACACAAAGATTGTGTATTGACTAGCTTGTCCAAAATTCTTATGGACACAACTTCCTTTAATTCTACGGAACTTGTTTAAAGATTGAAAATCTAGAAAGAAAAGAATAAAAGACAAACTATTTAATCTATTTTGGTCACTATAGGAAAAGTATTAAATGCTTATACCTGATTTCTTTCTTTCGTAATAGAAAACCGTTGGTTGGTCGCTTTCAGGAGGACAAAACTTTGAAAATGTATAACAAACGTTACCCAATCTAAGAAATCCATAGCAGAGTGCTTCGTTGAAACAGGTGATTGCACAATCTTCGTCTGAAAGATTGTTTTTATAGGAGCCTCCCGCCTCCTTTATATTGCAAGAGGCTTTCTTTTTATTGTAGAAAGAGTTTATGTATATAGCTATAGAGAAAGGAAAACAAGAGATAAAGAATGTTTTAAGAGAATAATTAAATTACAACATACTTAAATTTATTGATATGTGTGTAAACAATGGATTCTGTTTAACCCAATTAACATTGTACTTTAACGATGATATACCATACACTTGACTTGATAGCTTATGCCGTCCAGAATAATGCGATAGGAACGACTTTCTAAAAGATGAATTTAATCGTATAAACAACTGGTAGATTATTAATTCAAGTATAAACCTGAAGTTATTAAGTGGATTGCCTACGTCTCTTTCATGTTTGATCATTATGTACCTAGAAAGAGGCACTGGCCACTTGACAACTGTATATTTGGCTTTTTTGCATCTGAAAAAGAAAGTATAGAGCGAGAGTGAGAGTTTAATCAAATAATTGATATATAATAATTAAACGCAGAGTATAACTGGTATAATTATTTAATTACCTAATCATCATATCTACATCTTCATCACCCCAACCATACATAAGTGTATGAAATCCATTGACCCTTTCAAAGTCGGTAGTTTTCATAGCTAGAATTCCTCCAAGGGTTTGGTCTTTGTTACACAATCATAAGCAACATTAACAATTGTTATCAACTTTAATAGACGCAATGTTCGAGTTAATTGATTTCTACTTAATGTAATAATTATAAAGAAACTTTATAATGATGTGATATGTTTGGATAATTTGATTAATGTTGCTTAATTACAGATTTGAATATATTTGTATTTGTTAAGGTAAGCACCCATATGTCTTGGTGATTGGAGGCAATTATACATATGCCTTCCATCTTCTGGTATCATATCAACGTCGTGGAATATAATACAATCGGGGGCAAAGTTGGCTTTCGCTTCAGAATAACCTACATCCATCATTGCACCTCTATTGAAGAGAAAAGGATGAGCCTGTTCAACGATGAAAATTTTATAATGAATATTTTGCTTCGATAATATTCTATGGAAATGATTGATGAGAATTTTTAAATGTTCCAATCTATTTCTATAAGGGATCACTATAGCAACTTTCTGAATGGAATTACAGTTTGTGGGCTTGAATTCTCCTCCATGTGAAATAATTGCGTGTCTTTTATTAATAATGGACCAATCCTCATTTTTTGCATTATAATCAATTTTGCATCTATGTTCTGCGCACAATTAGAAGGAGAAAGTGTAAAAAACAATGTACTAAAAGGAAGAATAAATTATGTATTATAGAAAAATTGATGACGTACCTTTCTCTTCCGGATCGCAATCGCAAACGTTACTGGAAATATCGTAAGAGTCCACGATTTTATTGCAGAATTTCAAATAAACGTCATTATAATATTTTTTGGCGATTTCTTCATTTATCGTATCCCAGGAACTTTCTATTTTCAAAGTGAATTTGTTACAGCAGAAAAGAGTGAGAATAGTTTTACTTACTCTGCAGAGCAGTTTCGTTGCTCTTATCTTGTGGGATAATTTGCCTAGTAAGTCTATTAGGTAATTTATCTTCAAATTTAATCATTAAATTATTTACAGTAACGTCATATTTGCGAATTTTGAGAATAACTAGTAACAATGTCAGGCAAACAACAACTGACAAGCAGTAAACAAATTTCGATTTGATAGGTCGAAACATTTATTGTCCTTTATCTCCCTCTGTTATTTTTAATAATAAAAATGATAGTTTCAGTAACAAAACAACTAATAATTTACAGTAATTGTTATTGATTAAATGACGACTTGACATTACTCTACACACTGTATATATCATACAGTATGGCGGCGAAAAAAAAGAAGTAACTGTAACAAACAGCAGTAAGCACATACTCAAATTGCAAAGTACATTTTTTGGACTTTTAATATGAATTTCTTTAGTTTTGTCAAAATTGTCGGCGATTGTAAGCATCAAAAAAGGAAAGGTAATTGTAGAAGGGTTAGGGTTAGTAAAGTAAAATTATAAAATAATAAAATCACTTACCCTTTTAAGTTCTATATAAAGTGTTTTATTCAATAAAAGAGAATTGAACAGTAATTAAGTATACTTTTCCAAAAAAAAAAATTAAAAAAAAAATTGCAACCGAAACTTTGAAATAATAAAGGCTTATGATTTGGCTGTGCAGTAGACGATTGTTAAAGCATATGTGTAGATATTGATTGGAATGGTTGCGACTTGGACATAAAAAAAAACAGTTATAAATATGCATATATATATATATATATATATATAAATGTGCTCCAATAATCCCACTTCACCGATTCACTTCAGAATTCTCTTTTTATGCTCTTTTTGTATGCGAGAATTTTCTGTGAAATATACTTTATTTAACTTTTATTACAGTTCTTCCTTTCTTTGAAAATTTAAACATTAAATTGAAATATTTTATTTTAGACTAAATTTTAATATGTTGTTCATATACAACTTTTTCATTAAATAGTTATATGTTCTCTCTTTCTCTCTCTTTCAAGTATCTATTTATCAATTGGTGGCAGATTGAGGTGTCTTTTGATCGCCGTTTTTCTTTTCCAATAAACTATTGATCTCTTAATTGCGTAGTCTAAAACATTTTCCGTTTTTATTTTTTGGTCTTTCAACTATTCTGGCAGAAGAATCTTTGTTGTTCGAAGGTATAAAAGATTCCAAAAAGTGAATTAATTGCCTTTGAACAAAGGTCTCAAACAGAAATTCAACTTAATCATTAAAAATTATAAACAATGTACTGTAAAATATCAAAAACAAAACAAAAGTCTCTCGAATAATTCTTTATTATATAAAAATATGAATTTTTTTTTACAAGCCATTTAATTTTATGGTAAAAGAAATAAAGGAAATAAAGAATTTTATGTTTTAAACAGTTTTTTTTTCATTAATGTTGACTACTTTTATAATAATTGAATTCGTATAAAGTTTTATAAAGACTTTATATTCATTTATAATTGTTTTAATACAATTATTTGAAGTGTTTGGAGTTGTTTAAAGTCTATTTCCTAGATTTCTGAACATGAAACGCTATTTAATGTAAATTCTAGAGAATATTATTCTCTGAATGAGTCTATAACCTTAAATGTTCAAACAAAAGATAGTGATTAGGCCTAAAAATCTTCTGAGTTTGTTGCCTTTTCCTCTCTCTACATGCCCCATTGATTGAGAGTATTAGCTGACGAACTAAAATATGAAAACCCTGTCTCCCTCTCAACAATCAAGACGTATTGATTCTTTGAGTATAGGCCCTTTTCTTTGTATTCTTGAATATTCTTTTATTTAACCTTAAAAACTACTTTTATGCCACATAGCAGTGCAAGGTAAAATGATTTACTGTTAGTTTTACTTTACTCTAAGATTAATATCTTTTTGTTTCTTTATTTTGACAGAAATGAATTCTTTCATCTCTTTTCTATGCTTCTATATAATTATTAATGTTCATTTAAGAGAAGGAAAATGTCAACTAAACGCTTATCAATCAAACATAGAACCTTATGCAAGACTACTAGATAATTTTCATACTAATATTAAGACATATATGAAAGGTTTCAATAGGTCTAGTAGACATTTAAACCATCCGTTCTTGTTCTTTAATGTAACGGACGTAAGACATCTTCAAAAGTCTATAAAGTCAACCCATAAGGTCATTTTTCACAAGTTAGAGAAGGCTGCACAAAGAATAATCAACAACAGCAAAGTTTATTTACCTCCGGCCAACATTAGAAAATTCGGTTCCGAATGGAACGAAGATTATGGAAATAATCTAATAGATTTAGCTTTCTACTGCCTCTTGAAACCAAACGGTAAAGCCATAGCGTTCACTAAAACATTTATTCGTCTGATGAACAACATTCCCTCTTGGAGATATACGAAGCAGTTATCAAACGATTTTCCAATTGCCAATAATATGCTGGGCTTTACTTTGGCTGTTGATTTCCTATGGAATTCGCTAACGACCGACGAAAGAACAGTGTACATAAATAGAATATTCAATACACTCAAAGAAATAAACGTGAATATGAATAAAAAACCCTGGGGAAACGATCTAATACAAAGTAACTCAACAGCGAATATTGTTTCTGTATTCGTGACAAGCCTCTTTCTAGAGAAACATAAACCTTCTGTCCGACAATGGAGACTGGATTGTATGAAGAAGATGGAATATTCTATAAAATTGTTGGAAGGCATTGGCGATGGAACAAATGGCGAGAGCGTTTCGTCTAATAGCCTTTTTACAAAAAGTCTCACTCAGTATATCTTTTTGATTAATCGCCATTTTCAATTCAAGCATCATTTTACAAATAGATGGCTACGTAATCAACTGAATCTATTTTATCATACAACTCTACCAAGTAGAGATAGAACTATTTGCATTGGAGATTCCCAATTATCTTGGTTATACGGTCCCGAAGCTCAACTCCTTTTTATCGATACTTTTGCAATGAAGAACGGTCAGGGAACTTTTATGGCCGGTCTCATAAGAAGCGAGAGGTCACATTCCCGCTACCTTCGAGATCGTTTGGGTACAATTTTTACCGAATTGTTATGGTTCGATCCAGTTCTTACAAGCAAAAGAGTTTCAACTCAAATACCAAATCATCACATCTTTCAAGATTGGGGAGTATCGACTTACAGATCCCATAGCTTTTTTAACAGACACGCTACACACATCTCCTTCAAGGCGTCTCCTCCACACGGTCATTTAGTGAGTGGTTTGGCAAATGGACGAATAAACTGGTGGAGCGGCTGGTCTCATTTTCGTCCACTTTACGAACATCCAAATCAGAATAGTCTTGCGATCGTTATGAATAATAAGACTTTTATATCGCATGGAGGATTTCATCAAAATAAGTTGACATATTTCGAAAATACTCTTGTCTTCAAGTATGAGAAAGGCAGTAAAAAATTTCCTCCTCGCAGTTGTACATTTCCGTGGATTGGCCAATTGGGAGAATGCGGTCATTTCTTTAATTTTAATGAAAAGGACGTTGTTTTCTCACAAGCGTCTATAGTTGTTAGCCGAATGTTGAAGAATTTCGTATTTACTAGTGGAGAAGCTGCAGGAGCATATCCTAAAAGTTTGGGTATTAAACGCTATTATCGGTCAATGATAACACTTCACCCGCAACTTATACTTTTAGTGGATTACCTTGGAATAGTCAATTCGAAAGTAGTCAAACATTTTTCAGCGTTTTTCAACAACTACGAATATTCATTCTATCATTCAAGAGTGTTACGTTACAATGCTGCACATATGAAAAATAAGGATAAATATGTATTTTATTGGCATTCATCCGATGGCCAATCTCCAATGCCTACCTTCAGAACAGGGAAATCTCCGTACGAAAATGGAAAGCCATTCTCGAATGTTAATATAACTTTTAGCATTAACAATTTATCGAACTACGTTTTGTACGGATTTTTAGGACCAAGTATTACAATAAGTAAAAGTGAGATACGCGTAGGAATCAACGAGATAAAAATACAGATAGAGAGTAATGTTGGAAAGTACGTAATTCAAATTCCAGTTCACTATCAGAGAACAAAGTATTATTGCGCAATAACGAAATATGGTAACGCAACTGTACTTTTTTCAAAGCCAATTAAAGACAACAATGTTAAAAAAGTTGCACCGAAACATAGCATAAGTGCTAATAATAAACATCAGAGAGTAACGAGGAGATCTAACGTTCGAACAACGACTATTGCGTGGAAGTTATCGAAGAGATTGGCGTCAAGGCAACAGAAGAAAAGAAGGAGAGAGAGGAGGTTGAAAAAGAGAAATGTTACAAATGCAGCGATAAAGTCTTCCAAATGTTCCATCTTACTGAGATATACGAAAATGATACTTCTCGTTACTGTTTTAATAGGATTTTATTCTTCTTTCCATTGTAAATTAAAGAGAAGATGTACAATATATAAAATTGCGATACTGTTGGTTTGTATTCTCGTAACGGTTTACCTCTCGTCCGAAGGAGCATCATGTTTAATTAATTTCAATATATATTTTCGATAATTAATAAGTTTTTCGTAAAGTTTCTATCAATTAAGGAATAAAAACGATATTTTCGTAATATAAAATAGTTTTATTTCACATCTAAAGCATTGATTTGTTGTTTAATAATATTCCTTTATATTAAATATTAAATACAATTTTTTGAGCTGTACAAATAACGCCGTATTATTACTTTGTAATTTATTAGACGTGACAGTTGTTTTTTTTCATTTTTTTTTCTTTTTCTTTGATGAAATACCATGATTGCAGCATATATTTTTTGTTTTCCTATCAAGTATAACAGTTCTGTGAAAATTCTGGATATTTTTCAACCAAGAAGTATTCAACCATTTTGTTTATTTATTGATTAATTTAACGCTTGCGTTCAAATCTAAAATTTATCCCTTTTGTTATATTCTAATTTTTTAACTAGTAATATCATTTTGAATTTTTAGTCGTATGTGCTGGCTCGTTTATTTTTTCCACCTCTATTCTTCTTCTTCTTCTTCTTCTTCTTCTTATCATTTTCACTATGAGAGCTATGCTGAAATATTGAAAGCTGAACTATTGCCATCTAGCGGTAAAAATTGTCCAGTTTCACATTATAGCTGATTTAGATCGCGTTATTTATATTGGCTAATGTTATTTTTCTTGTTTCGAATATGAAGAAGAGATTTATCAAAGTACTTCATCATGTCACCCAAAAATAGTTAGTTATACAGTTGTAACGGATAAAAGGGGATTATATGTTCTAGCGTCGGTTGTTCTGGCGCCGTGTGCCAACACCTCCTGAATTGTTGTAAAATCGTCCAAAATTTTCTTTCCTTTATGTCGAAGCATCTTCCTATGACTCATATGAACAATTTCTGCAGTCTCTTTCCTCGTATGAACGGCCGCCTCCTGCTTCCTCCTTCTATGCTCTCTCGCCTTTTCTAATTGCCTCTTCCGCTCTTCTTTTGACCAGAATCTGCCTAATTTTAACTCTGAAACGGCGTCATCGTCTGTTGTTAGACCAGATCTCTCTAAATTTAATCTTTTAGCTCGTTCCCTAAGGATTTTATTTCTAACTGGTCGTCTGGCAATATACCTTGTGCCATCAGCCCGCATTTTTACAACCCATTCCATTTGGTCAGTTGGGGCTGGAGGAGGCGGCGTTGGGATAGGACTGTATTCTTTTGTTATGGTTGCGGTTGTTGTAGTGGTTGTTGTTGTTGCTTCGATTTTTTTCGGCAGATGGCGCTCTAACTTTTGTTGGAATAGTGTTTGCTGAAGTTCAATGGTGTGATACAAATTTGCTTCATTTGTATACATAACATCGGTAAATGGTAGAATCGAAGAATAATGATCATTTACAGCCGCCAAAGGAGTCTGAGATTGAACAGAGTTGCTAGAGTTGGACTTTGGTAATTTCTTTCTCGGCGGCAGAGGAGGAGGAGGATTAGGAAGAGTAGGAGGAGGAAGAGGTAGGGGAAGGGGATTTTCATTATTATTCTCCGTGTCTTTTTCTTTATCTTCTTTCAACCGAAGTATATTATCTTTCAGTTGTAATTGAGGAGGTGACTTTTGGCTGTAGTCTAGTCTAGTACCCATACGAGGAACAAGGCGAGGAGAACGAACAACAGGTGGCGCACTTGTATTAGCAGTTAATTTTGATTTGGTGTGTGCTTCTACTATTTCCTGGCATTCTAGTTCGATTTCAGCCATTTCTTTATTTAAAGCTTCAATTTCTCGTTCAATGGATGGTTTACGATGAGGAGAAGCTTTTTCCTCAGTTTCCTGAAGTGGAAATAAAATGGAACGATAAATAATTATACTAATTCATTGTCAAGTAATTTAGAAGTTTTATTCTCTCTACCCCTCTTAGTAAAATTGCAAACAAACAAGGAATAAATGCTTGCATACACAGACAACAACATATAAAATACATAAATACAAAGACGAACGACTCTTTTCGTTAAACAATTAACTTTGTTTAAAACAAACAAACAAAATCTAACAGGAAGAGAAAGAAGAAATGAAAAAGATGGCAGCGTAAAATTTCATTATTAATTTGTAATTGATACGTTTTCCTTTCCAGTTAAAAGAGCAAAGTAATAGAAGATGATGTAGGTTTTTATTGTATATATATATATATATATATATATATATATATATAAATATATATATATATATTTATATGTATTAGTATGTAAGTAGACAATCATGGCCTCTTATATACTGTTTTTTTAATGAAATCGGAAGGAAAACAAAATAAAATTCCGTGGTAAATCGTGCGAAACTTCCAAACGAACTTCTAATGAACTTTTTATCTTCAGCACATGTTTTTAATTAATTGATTCCAAAGATAACACTATACGTACACATACATATATGCATATAAGTAGAGAATGACTAGGAGAAAGAAAAAGGGTAAGAGAGAGAGACAGAGGGAGAGGGAGAGAGAGAAAGAAAGAAAAATCAGACAAATAGACAAACAAATACTTGTTGCGTTTATTAATTTTAACTAATTAATTCTACCCTAATAATTATCTAGGCTCGGTTCGTATTTGAAAGTATTATGTTTATCATAATCGGATTTACTGATAAACACCTCCATCAAAAGGAAAACAATGCGTCATTGGAAAGAATGATAGTAAAGAGAAAGTAATAGTCGTCTTTGGCGTAGGCGAAACGCATTAAAATTCTAATTAAAATCGAAACGGAAATCAGGAAATTGATTACGTAAGAATTCTTAGTAATAGTCTGATAAGTTCGGTGTCAACATTCGATGAAAACAATTTGGGTTTCACGCCTGAGGCGTATTGAACCGGTCTGCTGGCGGCTACGTAGATAGAGAACAAATTTTTTGCTAATAAGGCAATACAATAAAGGACAATTGTGATAATGAAAGGACGTTTCTTATACTTACTGAACTTTCGTCATTAGTTCTGCCAACTCCGCTGTCCTTAGTTGCAGTGTCCGTTGTACTGTCGTCAGCCTGTGAACACATAAAAACGTTCCTAAGAAAAGCCGTCTCGCACCGCTCGTAAGTTTTCACTATCTCTTCACAATACGAATAAATCCTTTCATAAATTCTTTTACAATATCTAACTCTCGGATTCGTTCTAATCAAACAACGACAGTTCATAGCGTCCCCCAGGCAGCTGCTGGATGCTCGGAACGTGATAGCCGAGTGACATGTGTCAAGTGCATAAAAGGTATTTTACTTTGACCAGCCAATCACGTCTTGGCATAGACCAATGGTAGCCTATCAGAAGCAACCCGGAGATTATGAGTTTAATTGGTCAGCGTTTGGACACATGGGATTCTATTGGAGCCGGGAGAAACTCTACAGAGCGCAGTGGTTCTTTTAAGCATTGCATTCGCTCGTAATTCAATCTTTATCTTTCGCAGCGGGGTTAGGTCGTACATCAACTTCCGTTTAATCATTGGGATAGACGATACTATTTGTGAAATATTAGTTTTTCCCAATTTGATTGACATTATCGAATGAAAAAAGAGAGAAGAGCAAAAGGCGTAGAAAAATTTTGAAGCGCGATATTCGGCCGAGAATCATAGGAAATGGGACTACAGAGTATAGAGTAACAGGGAACTTTCGGTGTGAAATACACTAATCTTTTACCGGTGTAATATTGACCATTTGACCCAAGTGGTTAAGTAGCGTGTAATTGGGTCATAAATCATTGTTAGCACCCCTTAATTTATATAAGTTGAAAACGAAAGGGAAGCCGAATGCGATTGTTTCTCCTTCGGGGAAGAAGTTTCTCGATGGCAAGAAAATATCAACACGCCTTTCTCGTGTCATTCCGACACCAAACGCCGTCGGCCGCCATGACGCCAGCTGCCAAAACTTGCCAACACTTAGCACCGTACGAAATTCGTCAAATTCCTCTGGCTTCCGAAAAATTCTCACGACTTTCCTTTCCTCCTTCGACTCGTTCGGGTTCGACATTAATTTATTTAAAGGATTAAGCCCAACTTACTACTACAGTTACTCTTATTGGGTAATACAAAATCAACTTAAATCATGCTCGAATTCTCAGATAAAAGTGTTGGTCATTACGTAAGGAATCGCGACGCTAATCCTAGTTATATAAGAGATAATCTACGGCACCTGTCTGAGAAGAACGCTCAAGTCGTTGTTCTGAAGAAGGCTTTCAAAGTCACTATTCTCCAGAATCGTCTCTTCCATCTGTGAAAAACGTAATTTTTATATAAAGTCTATAAAGAGAATAAGAATGACTGATAAACGATGGGATTGATGGAATAGGGGGAAGAAGGGAAGAAAGTGAAAAGGGAGGAATAAAACTAAAAAAGGGGTTTTTCTTCTTTTCTTTTTTACCCCTTTTATATCCCTATCTATAAATCGTTCCGACTGCAGTGTTGAAGAATGTAATTAATTATAATAAAACATATGGCTATCGTTATACAGGTTGTTGGAAAATATCTCGCAAATTATTAACATACTCATTAGAAAGCGCCTTTCCGATTTTAGAAAGTCATCGCCGTCTTAAAAAACTCATCATACTATCTCTCTCTCCGCATTACGCGTGTCTGAAATGACAGATGGCGCAGCGGGATTTGTCCATCTCCATTGTGTTTACTTAAGATTATAGGAAAGTTTCACAACTTCATTAAACGAATCTGAACTAGGATGGCAGCGTATCAGATTTTGACACTTGGACGGATGGAATGATTTAGTAAAAGATAATATGGCACGTACGTCTAATAATGTTAAAGTTTTACGATGTTTGCCCTAATTGATCTTCCATATGTTCGATTTTGAGTGATTTTTATGAATGTGCAAAGTGCAAAAGGTTATCAATGCTTTAACATTATGGAATGAGCAGAGATAGATTGACACTAATATAGTTGGTATTTAAATTCCACAGGGTACTTTTCATCAAGAAAGACCTGATAGCATAGGCCATAATTCATAACTTTAGCATATAGAAATATCAGAGGAAGGGAAATAAGAAAATAAATAACTAAAGTACAGTTTATTTGTCGGATAATCTTTGAAAGATTCTTACTCGTGAATCTATCCGTTAATCGTCTGTATTATATTGAAAACACAGGTGCTATTTGTTTGTATGCTCGGAATGACAGATGGGGTGGCGGGAATTGAAAAACTGGTGTACGGCGTATGTACATGTGGCTGTATAAACTGTACATTAATTGTTTTTGTCACATTCACTTATTTATACTGTGTTTCTCACGTACACCGATTCACTTCGGCAGATGGCATGCCAGCAGTCGAATGTCTGGTATAAGTATCTCAACTCATATGAACCATAATACAAATCAAACTTTATCCGTGTTTCGTTAACCCCTAAACTCTGACCTAAATTCATCTTATCCATCTTTATTTTTTGTTTTTATTTTTGTTTTTGTTTTTTTTTCATTCTTTCAAATATGAAATTAAAGTAAACAATTATTGAGTTGGACACAGAGAGAGAGAGAGAGCCAGAAATGGAGGAAAGAATCTTTTTATTCAGATTAATAGCTTCAAGGCAGCTGCTCAAGTTTTTTTTAACTGATTTTCTCTTTATCCTTTGTAACAAATGCGTCAAGATATCGACGTTTGTGTGAATTACAGTTGATTGTAGCGGAAATTTCTATAATTTCTTTTGTTTGCAGACGTCTAAATAAACGTCAACGTCAATGAACTTGTTGAATGACAGCAGTATTATCGAGATTCGGATACTTTAGTTCACAACAGTCGCAGGTTACAACGTTTAAAGGAGATTTTCGGATAGTTTTTAATTAAATAGAAAAAAATAAACTTACATTAGAACCTCTGGCAAGGAGTAGACAAATATCTGCTTTACTCTGTCCAAATAACTTAACAGCTTCTTCTCGACTGTGGACGTCTACGCCGTTTATCTAAGAAGGCAGAAATTTATTAGACGCCTTTTCTTATTCAACTTGCGTTTTATAAAGTGTCAAAGGACGCGCCAAAATCGATTTAAAAATGTTCTAGGTATAACGACTGGAGACCTAAAGAAGGCTGCTCTTCATCAATTTTCAAACGTCTGGACCGTCTAAAGGGATTTTATCTCTTTTCGACCAATCATGTGATCACATTTGTGTCGTTTATCATCATTTGGGGATGGATTTTTTTTAGCCGACTTCCTCAATTAATTTTTTGTTTGGCTCAAAAGAGACAGTGAAAAAGAATTATACCTGTAGGATTTGATCTCCCTCTTTTATTCGGCCGTCTCGTCCAGCAATTGAATCCTTTTCGATCTATAAATAAGCAAAAAAAATTTTTCTCTCTTTATCTTAGTCTTTCTCTTTTGCTCTTTGCCTATTACAACCGCATTAACGAGGGGAGAATGAAATGTAAAAAATTGGCGCTACGAATATAGCGCCCCTCATGAATATTAATAAGTATTTTTTTTTGGCGACTTTTATTGGTTATTCGAATTTAATTATTTTTTATCCCTTACTTAAACTGTTTACATTTACAGGCCGTATAAGTGTCAAGCAAAGCTTTACCCTACTATACAATAAAGTATACGTATTTATTGCAAGGATCAGCGACATGACCACCCATGCGCATTTTTTAAGCCGCCCTCTTATAAGGTTTAAATCCCCCTTCTCCCACTTCGCCCTCTTCTATCCAGAATTGCGTGCAGTCCAACAATACTTATCCGCCTAGAGAAAAGAATTTTTTTACTATGCTTTCCAAACTGTCATGTTACGTCTCACAGGGATGCTAACGCCATCTGTTTTGTTTCTATTGCCTTTTTCGAAGAGGACGTCTCCATTGACGGAGACTTTCTACACTTTTTCCTGTTTCTTTTTTTTAGTAAAATAAAAAAAAAATGTCGCAATTTCCTTTTCTTTTTATTTATATACGCCTAAAAAGTATAATAAAAGAGTGAGCTAGTAATTCAAAGGTTCGTTATTAAAATGTCGTTATTTTCCTTAAAGGTGAAAGAAAAGTAGCATGTACTAGATTTTTTTCTTACTCGCACCTTCTACAAATTTTAGCGGTGCTTGGTATTTTGTTGTTGTTATTGTTATTGTTGTTGTTGTTGATATTTATATTCATATTTTATCTCTTTTTTGTGGAGAGAGAGGAGAGGGGGATTTAAACAAACTATTTTGCTGAATTGTACCCCGTAGACTATTATATACTGTATATATATATATAATACATATATGGTGAAATGAGTTTACCTCGCCCACATAGATATCTGTTACATCTTCATCAGTAGAACCGTAGCATAAGGTTAGACCAATCTTTTCCTCTTTACTTGTTCTCTTCAATCTTACTTCCTGTGTTTTAAAAGCAATAAAAGTAAAAAAAATGTCGTAAGGCCTACTGAAATAGCTGTAACACGTTCGTCAACTTATCCCTTTCGTCTATTTATCACGATTAAAACGTAAGTAAAGCGTCGACGTTTTGCTAATGAAAATTGCACGCAACCGAAATACGCGATGTATACCAAAAATTGCAGTACGGCTTTGCAGATGTCAGACTAAGATTAACCATGATTGAAATTGATGACTGAAGAGAGAATTTTTTCTAGTTTACCCTCTCGGCTTTCGTGACTCCGGGAAGACTTTTAACGATTCTTCTATCACAAAACGACTACCCAACTGGAAAAAATTTCAGTTTATAGAACCTACCTCGTATTCTACGTTGTCCAGTTGGTCGTCCAGACATTCTATACCGTTGTCAAGCGTGATTTCATTCTTTATGACATTTCTGTAATGGGGTAAGCGCTAATGCATAAAATGGGTCGGTACAATAAAACGGAAGACTACTAAAACGAGCGGGCGACCGCAAAATAAATTTTGCAGAAACTTAGTAATTAAGAGACACTTGAAATATAAAAGTATAAAGTTAAAGGTTGCGGTAAATACAAGTGTGTAGTGGAGAATAAATAAGAGAGAGAGAGAGAGAGATAGATGGATGAATAGAGAGGAGAGAAGAGAAACATCTCTTCTGGTTCCCTTTATATCTCGAGAGACCTATTATGCTATTAACGATAACCAAGTCAATAATACAATAATCATAATCTTAATATTTGCAATAAAATATTCATAAAGATTTAGATAATAGTATAAAAAATAAGTAGGAGAATAAATTTAGATTAATGATCTGAAGCATAAGAAAATAATAATAATCGCTATTTGTTTGTTGCATTGGCCTTGTTTGTTTTTTCTTCTTCTCTTCTTCTTCTTTTTCCTTCTCTACGCTTTTTATTACATTTGTTGAGGACTGAGATGAACAAAGTTTAAGGAATGATACCCCTCTTTAATAAAAAAAAGACGCCTTTCAATAGTTCCTCGTACTGTCAAGAGAACTCGGAAGAGACATCACGAAGGAGAAGGTCAAAGGTCAACCGGAGTTGTGGGATCAAAAAGGGCGGCCAACAAAGAAAATCTATTTTCGATTCCAACACTATAAAGGATTCCTCACCGTCCGCCTTTGACAACGTAATAAGAAGAAACGTCAGAGAGACGCCCACAAGGATACGATGCGTCGTTTATTAGCGTCTCCTTCACTTTTTTATATATTTAAATACGTGCACGCGTGCGAATATTGCATGAATAGATTAGAAAGATAGAAATCATGAAAGAATAGACTCTTCTTCTTCCTACACCTTTCTCATCCATATGCCTGCGATGTGCGTACGCGGCAAATGATAAATAATTGTATAGGTAGCAAATTTTGCGCATTTAAGTATGTATAAATAAAATGATATATAGATAATAAGGCCTTCTTCCTATTTACGTTCGTCTGATTTACAAAAGCTACAATTAGACTAAAAGAAAATAAAAGAGGCTAGAAGCTTTGATTGGCCGCCCTTTAAATTACAGAGTCGAGAAGATATCTCTTATATCTTGCCTCTTCTTTTTTAATACAAGTATATATATAATGGCAACTTACGGTTTCGCATTCGAATAGGTTGCATCTAGAAGACTTAAATCGAACCGTAAATTTTCGTCGGTTTGCGTCGATTTAGACGACGTTAGACGTCTCATCTGGGCAAGTTCGCACTTTCGTCGGACTTCTACCAAAATCGGTTCCGAGGCGTTCTGGAAAGCTTCAATAGTCTCTTCGTGACTCGCAGACGTCAAATCGCGTCCGTTTACCTGAAAGACAAAAAAAACTAGGTCACGTGATTCGTCTTCAGCTTGTATGTGTACACATAGCAGGCGTGCATACAAACAAACATGGAATGACGCCACCTGTAACACGCTCAGCTTTGCAGTTTGCTTTAATTCTTTGATGTTACTAAGCATCTTAGTTGCTCAGAGCGAAAACTATGTCACAAAGTTGGATTGTTAACTTGGGTATAACAGCGTTCAAATAGGCTCATTGACTATTGAGCAGGCGGAATAGGAGTAAATTTCATAAGCGACTATCTATATGTGTGCTTTGGTCAATAGTGTTTATTTAAGGGAAATTTTATCGTTATCAACAAAAGCAGTAATATAATCTATTAAATGATTAATATGTTTATACATTTTACTATCGAGCGTTGAGCCGTCGAGTCAACCACCGTGTTTTTTAACTGTAGCCCTTATAAATAATAAGTTCACTAAACACGTTTGTGATGAAAATGCACACAAAGCAACCATATTTCACCCATAAATGACGCCTACAATGTATCTTTAGCATGGTTTTATGTGTTTATTATTTGTCACTAGACGCCTTTGTTTGCGCATACACGCGACACACGTAAACATATGACACTGCCCTCTATACATAAATATATTGCTATATATATATATATATACTGTACATATATATATATTTCTATATGTTTATATATCCTGATGAGATGAGAATCCATATGCATTTAGGTAGACGCTTAATAGGTAAAACGTTAGACCTACTGCAGATATATATATATACATTACAGAACTTTAATGCATTTAATCAATAGAAATTTTCATAACCGTCTCTTCAGCTAGCTCTATCTGTCCCTTGCATAGACGGTAGATATACAGCGTATAAATAGTATATATAGGCATATATCTACTGTATATACACACACACACTCGCACGCACACACATTAATATATATGCTTATACTTTGTATATATGTACGAGTGGGATTCCTTTGTTTGTCATCGACTGACAACTGGTCATTCATCATAGGCCTAATAATTAGAAAAAATTTTTTTTGCAGTCTGAGTGACGCCGGCAGCAAAAAGCGTCTAATCAACTATTCCGTTTAATGTTAGTGGCATGTCCTATAGCAGCGAAAAGACCGCTCTTTTGAAATAGACAGTCATTTCTAGATATACTTATAAATTATCTTAGCTAAAATGCATTCGGCCGAAAGCCAGATACCAGTCTATTTACCATCTATAAAACAATAATTTACCAAATGGTTCTCGAATGAGCTAAAAGGCATTTGATTAGCATACAATGTCCATATATCTTTTTTATAAGTAACTTTTGATTGCGTCATGTGACTACTGATCGAGTTGGCAGGTCATGAAGAAATTGAACGGAAAATATCGTTTTACGTGTTGATTAACGATAAACTTTTGGATTAGTTTCGAGATTTTTTCCTTCTTTCTTTTCTTATTTTCCATATTAAAAAAGAAAAAAAAAAGGTCAACGTATTAAACGATTTATTTGCCGCGTTAGTGGTTGAGGCTGAGAGGGAGAGAGGGGAATATATACATTCTTTGGCTTCTTTTCTCCATTAATCACGCTCCTAATAATTACAGTCGGATTTCGATGCCTGACTGATGGTGCCAATCGTATGAAGTATTTTGCAACCCGGAATAGAAGTCGACGCTAATCAGGGTTGTTTGTCAAGGTGAGCGGATGCAACGACTCGTGATATCGACGCCCGTTTCCTATCAAGCGTTAAACGTATTGCGGTATTGCAGTATTGCAGTTTGCCGTCTGCACTCTACTGATAGCGTCAGACGCCGCACGTGCCCGTCATTACGCCATGACAAACACAATCGGATCGGTTTGCAAACGCCTTGCAACGAAATCGGAAGAGTCGTTAAGAGACGTTTTCTATGTGGAACTTGTAGCTCGTATTTGATTTAAGAGATAGGTTTTAAAAGCAATTTTTTATTAAAAGTAACCTTACACTTCTATAGGTTAATTTTACAAATTCGACGCTCAGCAGGAGGGTTATTGTCAATGATTATTTTAATTAATATACTAAACCGTTACATCTTTTATAATAGTAACGAATAGTTGTGAAGGTAAGTAGTCAAGCGACCGAACACCAGTTACACGATATACAGCATAGACTTTTAAAAGAGATAAAGATTAAACACTTCCTAAAAGCGTTATACTCTTATTAAAAACGTTAGAAAATCTAATGGCGGGGGGAAATCTCTGGTGACGTTCACTCGTGACAAACTCGTCTTGTTTCAAAGATCTTATAGGCCTTCTTTCGTGAAAATGGATTCGACGAAATCATATACAATAAAAGAATCTGATGCGCCGTATCATTTTTTTGCCGAGATATAAATAATGATATTTTATTCGCGCTATTGAACAAGAAACTTGTATAAGCGCTCTATCATAATGACAAACTAGAAAACCTTTGGGACGTCCAACTGGAAAAATCAGAACAGTCGTAAAACGACGCCTGCGTCGTTATAAGCGATATAAGTTTTCATTAAAGCTGTCTAGAGATCTGCGCCTTAGAAATTTTATGACAAACGTTGACAAACAAGTCCAACTGGAAAGAATGTACTATAGGCGAGTAATGGGAGGGAAAGAATTATAGCACCTATCGTAAGACTAGTGAATCATAACAATCATTAACAGATGTTGTTTATAGGCAGGTTGATTCTATAAATTCTATAAATAATTAAGTTTCAACATAAATCAGGGTCTTTCTGCACCAAGATTCATACGCAGGTAGTTAATATTGCGTTATATTTATGACTATTAATATAATATGGAAGGCAATAATGTTTGTGTTGACAAGGAGAACTTTGCAGAATGTAATTAGTTTTCGTACTTAACATAATCATACGAAGATAAATTTTCTCTACTTTTATTATATAAGTATAACTCGTTCGTATTCAGATAAATTAGTAAGCACCTTCTACTATTAATACTCTTAATTCAATATTTCATTGGCAGATGTTGCGCAAAGTGCTGACAACTAGTTAATGGGCGCAAATATTAACTATAAAAATAAACTGTAATTGAAGTGATGTAATTAAACCGTTTTACTGTATGGGTAACTGCTAAACGATTGGATATCTCTATAACGCTATTTTGTGACGCAAGATGGACCGTCCAATGGAAAAACTGTAACCTTTAAAGAACTTTTCACAAGGGAAATATACTCTAAATTAGCAAAATTATTAAAGAATACTGTTATTTTTAGTCATCAAGCCGTCGTGATCGGTCTGTTAAGGCTACAGAATAACGTTGTTGATACCGATATAGACAATAAAAACGAGAGAATTTGTGGGAGAGGAAGAGAGTGGAAGAGAGTGAAAGAGAAAGAAAGAGACGCTATTCTGTTAATGAAATTCTTCATTAAAAGACTCTTATGAAAAACTTTATGACAAACAAAAGCATCTAGGAAAAGCTCGCTGCTAAATCTGCTTATATCGAGCGTCATTTAGTTCGCTCTTAATCTTTAGACGCAGCAGAGTTATTAAAGAGAAAGGTTTCCACACATTTATACTTGCACTTTTTTTTTCTCTCTATATTCCAAAAATAAAATCCTTGTCCATAGAAGAAAGTAGAAGGGGGAAGTTGTTTGTATTTTATATACATATAACAGTGTACTGCTAAAAAAGGATTCTTTCCTCTGTCTACTTCTTATTACAGCTACGGAATAGAATGAAATCAAATATAAATTCGATTATCTTCCTTCCTTTTCATTAGTAATTTATCTATTTAATAATAATAGAGAAACGAATATACTGTATAGCGTCTAGTTTTTAATTTGATATTTTTTCAAACCCTAAAATCTTTAACTCTATATGATTCACCATATTTTTCCCTTACATTCCAGCTGTACAAACAATCGAACAAACATACGCTGTAAACGTTTACACCATCGAACTGCTTATATAATTCGACCGATCGACCTTCTTTTTAATTGTTGATTAATTAAATATTTATTAAACGAATGTCATTTAAAACGACCACTCGATATTAAAGACCGTAAGACGTTCGATAGAAAAGAGACGTCGTTTAACAAGTCTATACTTTTTGCACCTGCCGCGTCCCGTTTCTATGGAAACGGTCAAGTAAATATAGAAAAGTAAATAAAAATAATAAAAAGAACGCCTTTTAGACGCCCTACCTCTTTCATCCGACTAAATGTCTCCTCCATGTCAGAGAGTGGAATGGGAAAATTTTAAAATCTAAAAGCTACCTGCCGCTATAAGCGCCCTCTACGGTCGACGTCGAGTCTAGTTAATTATTCACGTTTTCCAAGCTAACAAACAAATATGAGGAAAAACATTTATAAAAGCAGGATTCTATGTTTGGGGATCGCCCAAGGGCAGTCTAAACAGAATATAAGTGATACAAAAAGCCATTTTGATATTTTATATCATCACGGTCACATATTTCCTTATCCGCTTCACACTTCTCCAGGGGTAACACATCACTTCTTCACATAGAAAATCGGATTAAAAAAGTAGTGTGGAAAATGGAAGCAATTTACTAAAAATGATAAACATGTGTCACAAACGGAAGCAGAGAAGTTTAATAGCCATGAAAAACGGTCAAGGGACTTAAAAAGAAAGTAGAAAGAGATAAAAGTAATATCTAAGCCTATCATGTATTAATCATTCTCAAATTCTCTATCTTTTTTTTCCCTTTTTTAAACGAAAGAGAGATTTTTTCTTCATCATGATTAATTACTTTATAAAAATAAACATTTTTCCTTCTTTTCATTCGTTCATTTAGTCATTTATTCGTTCCTTCCTCTCTTCTCTCTCTCCCCTCTCTTCCTCCCGCATACGTGCAAACAGTGCTCAGATACACACATACGTATGCACCCACTTCGCTTCCCTCCCAGCATATTTGCTAATAGAAATGTAACTAAATTTTATTATTTAATTGCCATTTGTACAGAACGTCTAAATTCTACATTCTTTACAAATCTTAGTAAATATTTGATCTAGCACTTGTTCATCCTCAGACTTTAGTAAATATTGAAATATCCTTGATAATTAACAAGCCTAACCAATAGCGCCATCTTATGTCTTGATTCGTATTAAGAAGCTTGTGTAATTCTCCTTTTGAATATGTTTGAATAGTATTTAAATAGCCATAATGTTACTTTGTCATTTTCTTTTATTGGTTTATTTAACTGTTGAAAAAAACAGAAGTTTTCAACTGATGAAATTTTTGTTTCTCCTCTTCTTCATTAGGCGAATTGTAATTAATCTAGATAGTCAAGGTAAATATGATTTAAATTGATACGCGAGGGTCAGAAGAAGTTGCTCTTACTTGAATATATATCACACATATCACTGACTAAGTTCTTAACAATTCCCATACATGACATGAAAAGCCTTTTAAAACGCTATCCATCGCAATTGAAAATCACCCGAGGGGGTATAAAGGGTGTGCAAGAAAGAGGAAGAAGGAGAGAGAGAGGGAGAGAGCGAACGAACGAGCGAGTGAGCGAGAAAGAGAGATAGATAAAAAAACTCTCCTGTACGCCATCTGCAG